CACACAAATCAAGTGGGAAGCCCCGCTATGGCTTCCCACTTGATTTGTGTGATTGAGCGAATGAGGCACAGTTGGCCTGAGCTTGCCGGAGCAAAGGGTGGTGGTCAGCCGGAGAGGATAGAAGTCAAGCCACGAAGCAACTGCGAGGTAGTCGGTGAATAGACTGAATAGAGAGTGGCTGCTCTCCGCGACACCGTTTCGACGCGGCTCCGTCGTGGAAGCAAGACCACATTTATTAGAGACACCAGAGATTTGGCGGCCATTGTTGCTGCATTGCAAAACCAAGGGCATACTATGTACATGGGTACGGACTCAATAATCCCGCAGCTGCCGCGGGCTCTCATCAGTTTGAAAGGATTGGCAGATGGTGCTGGCCCTTCTGCATTGCTGTGTTGTCGCTGCAGCCACTATCCCTCTCGGAGTGTCAAGCTGGTCGGTCTCGCAGCATTGATAGGCCGGAATTGCTCCCTGGAGCCCCACTGAGACCCTCCCAAAATCAAGGAAGTTGACCAGTCGCCAGTGACGTGAAGCGGTGAACGAATCGCAAGTGCAGGCTGGTGTTCCAACTCATTCGAGCAGACAGGCCACAGGGCCCATGGACATGCGAGAAGACGTGCTGGCTTGCTGCGACCAATGTGACGGCCAGGTAGCACAGGCAGCACGAAGAGGAGGAGAGCGAGAATGAGACGACGAGAGCAGCGTCGCAGGCAGCGCAGGCCTGTTAGGGGGGAGGGCTGTCTGGTTTCATTGGAACAACAGAGCCAGCGCGTCATGACATTGGCAGGCCGGAAGCGGGGCATCACCACTTCATCACACCTCTCACGCAGCAGCCAGCAGCACGAGCAGCATGAGCAGCATGAGGAGCGGGCGTGTCTGGTCGGTCTGTCTGCCAACTCATCATCAGAGGAGCCCGGCCGCGGGCTACTAAGAAAACTAGGGGAGTGGGAGTGGGAGGGTGGAGCCGACTACTTGAATTAAATTGCAGCCGTCTCAAAAGGCCCGCACAAGGCCCGGCCCTTCCCTCGAGACTTTAAAACCCAACATCGGCCCCCCTCGTGCCCAACTCCCAACCTGCTTCTTCTTCTTCCTTCTCCCACACACAAACCACAAGAATTCAACCCAACCAACCCAACATCACTGCTGTTTGCCGCAGACCCAGAGCATTTTGGTGCCCAACCTCGCCAGATCCCCCTGTTGATCTCTTCGCCACTTCTTATTTCTCTCTCCCCTCACCCGCCCGGACCCCCTCTTGTTTGTCTCTTCTCACACAACAACCCTTGCACACTATCACACAAGGCCCGTTCTTGAGCAACCCGGTTGTCTTCTTTCAGTCCAGGATCATCCTCTCTGCTGCTCTGCCGTGTACCCGTGTCGCGTTGCTGCACTACGTCACTAAAGACTCAGGAGACTCGACACTACTCTCACCCGGAATCTGCATCATTCTTGACTCTAATTTCGAGTCTTGAGAATCGCTCTGCATCAATACCAGAATCCAAGGATACTTCACAAACAAAGAGCGCTGCTCGCCGTTTTTGCCATTAGGAATGACTGCCATTGTCTTGTCCCGGACGGAAAGCATGCCAGGCTATCATATTGATCTTGACGAGGTCCACAGCCCATCCAGCAGGTATATACAACCAGTATTTCCTTTGTAATCTTGGGAGGCCCATCTGCTTTTGATTTTATTGAAAACATGTAATCGGAAGAATTCTTGTACTTTCTTTTCAGACCTGTCAGCCGGATTACTTGCTGTCGACAACATGGATCCTTCATAGCGACCCTTCAGGACTTCCTTCCTCAGGACTACTTACACCAGGCTGCGCCGCGTGAGGTCGTTTCTTTCCGGAGACCATGGTGGATCTATTACCCACGGACACAGGATCTCTTGTCTGAGCCAGACTCGAGAAAAGAAATAATATCTCTCCGTCGTCAAGACGATAGCGTGAGTATGTCCCACGTCAGACGTGTTGAACAAGTACAGCTCTTTTACCGAGGGATGGACGCCGGATCACAGGCCGTTTCATGGATCATGGATTCCCCAGGAGCTCGGGATTGCTTTTTTCTGTTGCTGGACTCGGAACCAGACCGAGCGTTCGTGGAGACGTCCGCTGGACGGGCCCGGACACAGCCCACTTTCAGCAGGATGCCTACTGGATCACCATGGATCTTAGCTTGCTTGCAATTGTCACTCGATCTTTTTCAAAGAGTGGTTGTAACGTATGCTAGAGCCACCACTCGCAGTTTAATGAAGACTGCTTTGGCTGCCGAACAGGTGTTGCCTACCCATGGACTCTTCAACAATGCCAGGAATGTGACAGCTTCGCTTTTACCAAGGAGGATCAATGCCACATGGGAACCTGTGATTACGCTGTCTTCGTGAGGACCGTTAACTTCCTGATATCGTCGGCCCAATTGAGGACTAACCTGGACTTGCTTCTCTTGCATATGTGGACACTGGACAATCATCGCACCAAGGATCTTGCAAACCCTGGCTATCAACACCCTAACCTGCTATCTTTTCCTGGCTTTTTCTGGCTTTTGTTCATCGCTCTCTTGCCTAATCCCATGTCTTCTGGACTGATCTCGACAATGCTGGAATCCTATGAAGACTTTGCCTCTTTCGCACGACTCCTTCCACAGGGATGTCCCAGGCCACTCGCCACAGGTTCTGCCCTCTACCACCGGATTGCAAGGATCCCTTTCCTGTCAGGTTCTGTCCGAACTCTTGACTCATTTGGTCTGTAGAATCCTCCCTCGATACTTGTCCTCGTGAATGAGACTAACCGGATATGCTTGGTGCAGGAACAAAGTTGTGCCATTTGAGATGTCCTTTTTTTTCTGTTTCCTATTGCAGTGATATCATTTTCGTGTTGTACAGGAAGTGGAGAAACAGCACACTGACCTCAAATACAGCGACTATAGCTTTAACCAGGCCGCCATGATGACTTCCAATGCCTCAGGGAATTTTCTTTTTTCTCACACAGCACCATCGGACCCTAACGGTCTGACTTGGGAGAGCACGACAGCAGAAGGAGCACAGAACTTCTTCTCAGACCATGGAGATGCCGAGGATTATACTACATTCCCAATTGGACGCATGACTCCCAGGAGGGATCAGGCCGAGACCATGGACATGGATGACTTCCACGCCAACTGGGCTGCTACCACAGCTGCTGAGCAGGCCAAGATCCTCAAGTCAGAACCAATGAGGCGGCTTACCTCAAAGAGTTCCACAGGAAGCCACAAGAACAGGACTATCAAGGCCTCTTCAAGCAAGAGCCGCCCAAGACTTCAGACATCTCTGTCTCAAATGTCCAATTTTGAAGTCACAGGTAATGCATCATCCGCCTACTCGGAAGGATCCTTGAGCAACGGCCGCATGATGGATGTCCAGCAGTATCTTTTCCAGGACTCGGATGCTTTGTCTGTTTCTTCACAGCCCATGTTCTACCCAAACCTGATGACAATGACTCCGGATGGAATGCCCTACTCTGACATGGCTGTAAGCCACGTGGACCCTACATGCACTCAGATGCAAGTGGAATTTGACACGAGTCTGACGAGCGACTCGCCGTCACACTCTTGGGACAACTTCAGCACCGGTTCCGATGGATCCTCGCCTCATCATGATGATTCCTGGCTTCAGCCCCTGCCGGACTCGCCCCCAGACAGCCATGAGAACTCCCCTATTTTCCGAGGACAGTCACAAAGGTATGTTGAAAGTGATGATCTATCTGTGCCCCCTCGACTCTTCTCACACGATGGATGTAATTAGGTTGAACGGGAAACTTGGATCCCAACAAGTCATGGCCACCGAGGACCTTACTGGAAGTGCAATGACCGCCATTGGAGATGATTTCTCTCTTCCCCCATCTTGGAGCACCCGCCGCCAGAGCAGCGAAGGTGAGTCTGCAAGGGACCACCCATTGTACAAGAATGCGTTTCCCCAAGCGGACGGGCTTTTCCATTGCCCATGGGAGGGCCAGGCCAGTTGCAACCACAAGCCCGAAAAGCTCAAATGCAACTACGAGTAAGTATTATTACGCTTTGGATCAGCTTTTTGAGAGGGAAATCCCAGTAACTAAGACTACCAACAGCAAATTTGTCGACTCCCACTTGAAGCCATACCGCTGCAAGGTCGACTCATGCGAGAATGCCCGTTTCTCTTCCACTGCCTGCCTCCTCCGACACGAGCGGGAAGCTCATGCCATGCATGGCCACGGAGACAAGCCCTACCTCTGCTCCTATGACGGATGTGACCGTGCCCTCCCCGGCAACGGATTCCCACGCAACTGGAACCTGAGAGACCACATGCGTCGTGTCCACAATGACAATGGCTCCTCTGTTCAGGCCAAGGCCGCGTCTTCGCCGCCTCCATCAAGCCGCAAGGAATCTTCCAAGGGCCGCAAGAGAAAGAACGATATCTCCGAGAGTGCCTCCAGCCGGAAGTCGCCCTCAACCAAGTCCATTCCTGTGGCGGACGTTGCTCCCACCATGAAGGCCGTGGAGACAGTGCCGAACCAGCACGCGGATTGGTACGAGCACCAGAAGCACCTGGCCGATCTTGTCAACGGCTTCACCAACCCGGAAGACCCGTTGGTTCTCCAGCGCCTGGTTGACGCGCAGAACTACGTCCAGGCCATGTCCAAGATCTCACGAAACCTGGTCACTCAGCAAAATGCCAACCTTTTGGAGCAGCCGTACCAGCGGTCCTTCTCTCAGCAGTCCGGTTGAATTGCCAAAATTTGGCCAGGGCACCTTTACACTCCTATCCATCCACCAGTCGAACCACGGTCCCCGGCCGCTGGCCGTAAAGGACAATCATCACCTCACTGGATTGAGGCTCGTGAATTTGACTGCAAGTGCACACGAGACAAGCCCGCCTGAAAGTCTGTTGTGAGACTTGGGTGGCTTGTCCGTGCTCCAAGCCGACTTCGGCACGGCTGTGTCGGTGTGGAGGCTATTTATCTACCGTGCCGCGAGGTTCCATCGGGAAGCAACTTAGACGGATTCAAGGTCCGCTCCCATAGAACTCGTGCCGGGCTTTTATGGATCGCTATCCATTCATGGTGATCAGTCATGGCTTTCCCCAGGCTGAATGTTTGTGTGATTTGTGTGCTGTAGTTTTTTTCTACTCGTCGAAAAGGAAAATTCAGAGGAGGATCGATGTATAAGCACGGGCATGTAACACATTTTAGAACAATGTATCGAAGGGCCGCCTTCTGGATATTAACAAGGGTCTCAGGGCGAAACAGTGCGCCAATTGTCTTGTTTTTGAAATAGCATGTAGTAGATAGAGATTTATGATGATGATGATCGCTCATACTTCCAACTTTCCATTATTAGTGATCATACCCGAGGAGCTATCCCATCTGTCTTGCCCAAGCGAACGGTGAGCACACCCACTTTCCCAGCAAAGCCAAACGAACCCGTGGTATCTTGAATGAATGAAGTGTGCCGGAACACGGCATCTAACGCAAAACTCCTTGATCTCCGAAAACAGAACTCGTGTCTACGCCGGGAGCGCTTGTATCCCTATGCAAATAATGATTGATGTATGCCGTCCACTGATGCAGTGGCTAAATGACGTCTCGCCTGCTCTGCCTCTTTACTTGACTCTTGCGTGCCTTGTGGACGCTGATGTGACCATCTTCGTATGGTGTGAATTGATATACACTCTCCTGAGTTGAGGACCGCTCGATCATGACTGAAGTAGTCGGCTGGATCTTTGGGAGTGGCTTGTTCAAATTGGGAGGCGGAAGCTTCACCCGAGATGGTGAACTTAGGGGTAGCTCTGCGGCGGAGGCGTGCTGCATGTAAAACAGGACTGGGGACTTGGGTTCTCCGCAGAATGTAGTCAGGGAGCTGCGTCTTGTTGAAGATGCTTTCTCGGCTCGACTAGACCGAGAGACGAAGCGAGATGTGCCGAGGAAACGAGGGAGGTATCGGCTGAAGAAAGGTTTGGTAGCTGGTAGAGAGGCGCAAATCTGGACAAATATTAGCATTGCCAATGATAACTTCCCGTGGTTTCATCATACTATTCCAATAAAGAGCTCGAGAGAGCTCAAGAGAAACACAATGTACCCATTCCACGTCGTGTCATGGTCTGCACTTGTCGTCATCTTCCAGGTGAAGAATGTCCTCACGGCACCAGCAACGCTGGCAAGGACACCACCAGTGAAAAGCCCCTGAACAATGAGAAGTTGTTTGAACGGAAGCTTCAGTCTGAACACGGTGGGGATTGGCACCAAGACAATAAGGAAGTCCGTGGTCGTGTTGATAATGCCGGCCGCCAGTAAGTGCGCTTCTTCATTGATGCATTTTTGAGGCAGGGCAGACAGAGTCCAGTAATCCGCAATGGGGCTATGTGTCCATCAATATTAGAGTCCCAATTTGGAGTATCAATGGGAAGCGAACCTGCATTGAAATATCGTGACGACGACGAAAATGAAGCAGTTGGCCGCTATGACCAATGCGAGGGCTATAACAACGTATCTCATACGACTTTGACTCGCTGTCATTAAACGATACATCAATGCTAGCATGGAAAGCTTCGTCAGACTTGTGGCAATATCGAAGAGAATCTGGGTCGCCATGCTGCTTGGATTAGAGATTTCCTTTTAGCATTACGGGGCTTGTGGCATACCTCAACTGGAGCCCAGGAGTAATAAACTGAGGTCGCACATCCCACGCATGTCTATCCCAGTCCAGCTTGTGTTCGGCAACGATGCCGCCGACTGCGAAGGCTGTTGCGGGTATCTGACGCCCGTATTAGTCCTGATTTTTGGTCGAGCCAAACTCTCACAGATTCCTTACATATGCAAGGATGATGAGCACATCGTCGAGTCCGAACCCCTTCGATATTTTTAAACGAGCGTACACTCTGATTCCAATGAGAGTAGTAACAATTCCGAGTAAAATGGAGATGATGATAGTATTCTCCGGGCCTTGGGTTGTTGGGTTCTTGTAATTTGGCGTCGGCCCGTTCGCGAGAACAGATAAGGGTGCTATCTGCATCCTGGGCAAGTAGAGAGTCGATGGCTAGACATCAATCACAAACATTTGGCACGGCTTTCCTAGAAGAAAGAGAGCACAGACAACATGTCTTCAAGCCTCAACACCGGGGGTCTCTTGTGATTGATAAGAGGCTGCCTCCTCGAGCACGAGTGGCACCCGGAGATACAGATCCAGCTTCGTTAAGCTAATCGGATCTAATCTGTCACTTGGGGGCGTTTGAGATCCTCCTCCATCACTCACCGTAGCCTTGGAGGGTCGCGTATTGTGAGTCTCAAGCCCCACTCATATGGCCATGGCTCTCGAGCTTCTGGTCAACTTTAAGACAGATGGCGAGCACCGGGATCGCTGTGAGGCCATCCGGTACCGCATATAGGCTAGGCAAGACTTGCCGTTCGCCACTCGTGACCGCATTTGTCTATGCTTGACAGTATCAAGGCTGCAAGGGCTCTATGGCTAGGCCTGGTGTAGAAGCCCTGCCCCTGTTCAGAGTGACAGCCTGGCTGGGCCAGGATCGATAACACGAGGAGGCCTGAGCAATGCTGAGGCTGCGATGTTTTAGTCCTAGTTATCCTATGCCAGTGGATCCTATCGACTGTGATGCACAATGAATCACAAAGATTTGCATCAATCAAGGTTTAGTGCGGTTCATCATGGCAGTCTTTGCTGAGAAGCAGAGGCCCAATGTAGGCTTGTGCTCCGTGTCTCAGGGGCTGGTGTGTGTGTGTATGTGAGTGTAAATCTCCGAAGCTCTGTAACCAGGTTATCTTGTCTCCGCATGTGATGTTGCGGCAAGGCTATGATCATGGTGCTACAATGGGGTTGGAACAGTGCTATGATCGCCTACTCTTTGTTGAGCGCGGAACCCTTGTCCTGGTGTTCCTGTATGTTCGTCGGATCCGCCAGAGTATCGGCTCCGTGTAAGTCATCAAGCTAATAATTCCGTTTCACACACATTGAGGAAACATGGCCTTCTTACGGGCCTGACTGACGTCAAATCAAAGGCTACTGGCTTTTCTCTGACTACTCTACGTAATTGCAGCCGTTAGTCGTGTTTCTCATCTGTCTTGAATGGCCGTGACATGGCTCGACGCCAAGGCCACTGGTTGACAGGAGAAACACAGTTATTTGTCAAACAGACACCATGTCAATGTTAAGACGGCTATTAGACTCCTCACCGTCAGAATCACACAATATTTTGATAACTTTGTCTACGCATAAGTGTAGAAACTTGGGACGTGCGCCGCATGACAGTGGCGGATCTGCATGAGCCGAAGGCAAGTGTTTCATACCGTGGAAGCGTGCACCACTGGACTGGGGGTGGCGCAGGCAAGGCAGTTGGAAACACCAATCGCATCTCTTCCTCGATTGACATCGAAGAAGCACAGCTACGCTGGAGACATGCACAGCTCAGAAGGAATACCGGCGTTTGATTTGGGGTCTGAATTTTGAAGATCGATTAAAACTATCCCGGTAGACTACCTAGACAATGCGACCTTTCCTTTGCCAGAGATTGCTAGTGATTATCACATGCCCTCCTTGAAAACCCAGCCAGAAAAATTTCACGCTTAGTAGAGGCGCTTAGGGGGAGACATGGTAGCCTTGATGGTCAAGCTACCAACGTTCTGCCAGCCCTTCTTCAGCAGCGAGACGAGGTAGTTGATGGCCAACATGATGTTGGCAACCAGCTGCTCGGTGTTCATGCCAACGTTTCCGACGGCGACACCCATGCAGAGAACCTTCTTCAGCTGGAACTTGATGGTGGACTTGACCTCGTTGATCTTGCCAGTGAGGTCATCGGCGTGAGAGACCGGGGTGGGGAACTTTCCGGCCTTGGACAGACCGGGACCCAGGAGACGGGGGATCTGCTTGATAAGGGTCTCGGAGGCGACGAAGGCGTCGTACTTGCGGGCAAGCTTCTTGATAAGCTTCTTGTTCTTGTTCAGCTTCTTCAAGTCGTCGGCGGACATGGCGTCGACGCCACCGTGCTTGGCACGATCGATATCGTGCTGGTCACCGAGAATGCAGACGGCCATGTTGGGGCGGGGAATGCTGGGCAGCTTGACAGTGCCGGAGAAACGCTTGTCACGCTGGGGATCGTAGTTCTATAGCGTTACAGTCAGCGTCTGTTGTCGTCAGGAGTACAGGGAAAGGTGCGTCATACCTTGAGGCCGATCTGGAGCTCAACGGTTTCCAAGAAGTTGCGCTTCTTGGTCTCCAGAGAGTACTCCAGGAGCTCGGAGACGTTGGAACGGACACCGGCGACTGTGATCTCTGTTTCATGAAGTCAGCAAGCAAGCTCGGATTGCTAATGAAGAGACCATCGCTGAAGAGCGACAGCTTCCCTAATCATAGGATAAAACGTACTAGACATGGTGACAGTCTTCCAATAGAATGATTTCTAATGGTGAGGTATACTCCGTTCTCAGAGTAGGTAAGTTGGGGAAGTTGGTGGTAAATTGACTTGACGTCGGGATCCTTTGGGAGACTAAATATGAAAGGAATTTTTGGTGTGGGCATACATATTCGGAGGGGCAAAGGGCGGTGTGACACTGCAAAAAGAGATTCCACCCTGGAAGACACGTCACGTGACTGCAATTTTCCAGAGAAATTCTCGCCGTTTGACGCATACTGCAGGCATGAATGGTTGGAATAGATACGGCAAGTTTTACTTAAAAATTAGTGTAGGCATATCATGTCATGGGAGACAAGAAACATTCTTTTCTGGCCTGACGTACATGGGTAGAAAGGCATATCTCATAGATGGCTGACGTTACAAGTTCAGCTCCTACTAGATGCTTGGCTCTTGTGATGATTACGATGTATCTCACGCAGCGCTGAAGATGAGAAGGCTCGTCTCATCAATGCTTTCGTACACTGGCAATCTAGCTACCGTACCCATCCATCAATCAATCGTCCAGCCAAAGTCGCGAAGGAAGACTTTGGAGTCATGTCGCAACCACCCCACCGTCAAGGACCTAGTAATGGCGTCCATGGCTTGTTAGAAGGGAAGAGGTGATCACTTTGCTTGCGGAGGCCGGGAACGGAAGACTATCCATAGAGAATCAGGATAACCCTCAGCAAGCCGCCGTAGCGGAGCCTTCGTTTGTACGAATTATAGTTCTTCACTTGACGGTGTAGAGATATAACCCTTACTGATGATGAAGAAGAAAAGAAAGAGAGGCCATTTCTCGAATTGGCAGCAGAAGAGTTTTATTGCTGCGGGCGCCGGAAATGGCACTAGCCTAAATCAAGACTAGTCCATCATGGCTGACCAGGACCTGTACCACGGCGTACCACTCAACCTGTTAATAAAGACACCAAGGTTCTCTGCAATTGCATGACAATTTCATTTCCCTTCTTTTACGACTTGAACGCCTGTGTTTTATATATCTCAGCATCTTTTGCTTTTCTTAAATTGAGTTATAACAAAAATCGGAAATAACTCTGTATCAACAGATTCAGCTCATGGAGATTAGTTGTCGCCAGGTAACTCATGGAGATAAACGCGGCTTCGCTAACAGACATGCCATAGTGCCATCGACTCTTGTATATGGACATTTATTCTATGCAAAATTTTCTCCTCTATATTCCATGGATTCATATCAATCAACCATGAGTACACAGCATTCTCAAGGCTTACAACTTCGTCCCGGCTCCCACGTATCCCTCAGTTACAGCAGTCATCAGGCGGTTCGCGATTGCGGTTTGAGGTGGCAGCCGCAAGGATCCTTCCACATAGCCTGCGGGTGCCGGCTCTCCCAGCCCGCTCACGCCCTTGTTTAAAGCCTCTCGGACCTCGTCGAATGTGAACCACTTGGCATCCTCCAGCTCCGGGTCGTTACCAAGGTCGATGCGTTCGCCATCGCCAGGAAGTGCCTGTGCGATTGCGCCGATCATCAAGCTTGCTGGGAATGGCCATGGTTGAGAGGAATGAATGACCACGCGGCTCAACTTGACGCCGCTCTCCTCATACACCTCTCTCCTGACAGCCTCCTCAATGGACTCGCCTGGCTCCAAGAATCCTGCCAGTGTGCTGTACGAGTAAGCGGGCCAGCGCCTTTGGCGACCGAGCAGCATGTGCGTTCCGGCCGCGTTCACAACGGCAACAATGATCGTCGGGTCCGTCCGAGGGAAGCTAATGTTGGAGACTCCTTTCCGCGTCGCACAAGGAGCGCGCTCATGGAGCTTTCCTCCCGCTAGATCCGTAGGGGGGCAAGCTCTCTTAGTACCTGAGTTAACAGAGAGAGTACGCTGGCCACACTGTGCGCAGAATGGGTTCCGCGCGTTCCAATCGAGTAGTGCTCGTGCTTGGCCGTACATCGCGGCTATGGCAATCATCATTCAGCAGTCCACTCAACAACGGGAAAAAAATATCTTACCTTCTGCCGCGCTCAGTCCCATATGTCGCTGGTCAGTGAAAAATGAGTACCCTTTCTGCTTTACAGCGTCAATGACACTGGTTGCGCTTGCTTCAGAGGACCCTCGCGGCGTGATGTCGATGGCAAAGTATGGTCGTCCTTGCCAGCTTTTGTACTCAAAAGCAGGACCGTCGCTGCTCGGTTGAAGCTTATGTGCCTCATCGATGCCGAGGAGGAGGATCAGAGGATGAGTTTCCTCCGAGTTGAAGTCTTTGATCATCTCCTCCTCGGTCTTGAGGAACGGATCAGGCCCTGTGAATGGCGTTACATCCGCATTGCTCAGGTACGCGATCCGATTGCGAGTCTCATCAACAAGAGGAGCCAGCTCGTTCATTAGCAGGAACCGGGTGGACGGGTGTGAGAATGCGGATCTTAGGAAGACATGATCATGTCTCAGAAAAGCGACTCTGTTCAGAGGACTACCCGAGAAGTAATTCGCAATCTCGCGGCCGAATTTCCGTGAGAGCATCGAGTCTTCTTCGTCAAAGACCGGGAGAGCTGGGATTGTTGATCCCATATTTTGAGGAGGTAGGTATGGTGGAAGATGGTCTTCCGTTGAGCTCTACTGCTACTTTGCTTTCCTGATATGAGGCGCGAAAGTGATTACGAGATCCTTATTTTGTGCAATGTTGATAATGTAGTAGAAAGCCCTAATTTGACCTTCCTGTCGACTTGAGGTTGAATTCTCTCGTCATTGATTGACAGTGGGGTCGGAGGTGCTATCGGCGGGCTTAACTCAGACCCGTTGCTGAGTAATTAGAGGATTGCGATCTGGCGCCCGACGTGGGGAAACCGAGGCCCTAGATTTTGTGATCTCTATACTTAGCACTAAACCCGACGCTATTATCGCGGCGATGTTTAGATGCTATAAATTAACCTACCTTCTATGCAGTACGATGAAAATACTGATAGTGTCTCAAGCCGTTTATTCTGAATGGAAAAGAAAGTATCGGTATCTGGTTACCTGCTATGTCCTTATATGGAGACATTACGAGAATTGATTACTGAGGCAGGCTTTCAGGCTGAGCTCTTTCTTCAATTGTTCGAATACTAATCAGCTTTTTCAATTGCAATGTCTAGATTTGAGCTCATCACTATCAATTTTCGACCATCAGATATAGGGTTATGTATCAGATATAACCGTTTATCCAATATTAGTAGCAAGTCGAGCAACCTGCAGTCCTCGTTCTAACTCGATATGTCGTCTGCTGGAGTAGACCAGACATCCTACCTCGCACTCCAAATACATACTCGGTCTCATGAGTTCTCATGAACACGTAAGATTATGACTCAGCATCTAGTCGGGTCAAGCTTTTGAAAATTGCACCATACAGTCTAAGAGTTCTGACATTCATCCCCTGCTACAGTCTACTTCGTTCGTCGATCGAACCTGATGAAACCTATCACCGATCATGACGTTTTGTCCAACCTTCATATAAGTTCACGTTGAGATTTGAAAAGCTGATTCTAAGCACGTTTTCTCTATGAGAACAGCTCCCTCTATACAAGACTCTTCAGTTGTATTCCCATTCTTCTTGACAGCCGTGCCATTCGTATGGAAGTTTTTCGCTACAATTCGTTCTTGTGGTCACACAGAATATACGGTTGTCGCCAGAGAAGACAACAGGCTCAACTTGTTTATATCAAGTTGCTCAAATATGCTCTGGAGTCGAAACTTTTCATGAACTGCTTCTCGAATTTCAATATACCCCCACGTGCTCCCCACAATTTCCCCGGATTTCCAGGCGTTCTAGCCGTGGCTGAGGCGGACCCTTTCAGCTGGGCTTTAGCGAAGTCGGGGCGGCGGACAATTAAAATACGCAATGAATCATGCGCCTGTGAAAAAACCTCTGCCGTCATCTACTTACTACTGCTCCCCACCTCCATCGGCTGAAACTCTCACCTTAATAACTCAGATTGCATTTATTTGTCGGGGTTTCAATTGACAAGTTTGCGTTTTTTCTTAATAGAGTATTCTTTGTGCTCGTTACTCTTTCCTAGAGACCGGACAGTGCAGGTACTTCGGATCGGACAGCGCGGGGATTGCGCCAGGTTTTGGGTAGATGATGATGGCGCCACCGACAGAACCACTCAATCTTGATGTTGAAGCCATCTCTGGCATCTGTGGGTGAGTCTTGTGACATTTAATGACCAATTGGTGCATTAGTCTGACTTGAGCTGCTCTAGTTCGATCTCAATTGCCTGCTGGGTTGTTGTCTTCTCGCCTCAAATTATCGAGAATTTTCGGAGAGGCAGCGCAGATGGCCTGTCACTTCAGTTCGTGATTGTATGGCTCCTAGGCGATGTCTTTAACATATTGGGTGCCGTTCTGCAAGGCGTGTTGCCGACGATGATCATCCTCGCCATTTACTACACGATTGCCGATGTCGTTCTCCTGGGCCAGTGCTTCTACTACCGCGGGTTCACTTGGAAAGACGAGGTCGTCCCACCCGCCCCTAAACCGCAAGACCAACATCATGCGGGCGAGCCAACCGAACGAACCGGCCTTCTGGCCCAACAAGCACAACGCGAACGTCGAGGATCGGACTGGTCCGACTTCTCCCATCTGAATCCGACCCTACCACTTGTCAGCGAGACACCTCCATCGCCGCCGCCGCCGCCTCCAACACGTTTACAGGCTATCGCCTTCAACACGCTGGCAGTCATAATGGTCATTGCTGCAGGAGTTGCTGGGTGGTTCTTGAGCCGGGCCCACGGAGGCGCTGAAGAGCACACGCCTGAGCACCACGACGAAGACTTACATTTTGACCTCTGGGGCCAGATTTTCGGGTGGTTATGTGCCGTTTTATACCTCGGCTCACGTCTTCCCCAAATTCTGCTCAACTGGCGACGCAAGTCGACCGAGGGCGTGAGCATGCTATTCTTCCTATTCGCGTGTCTCGGTAACCTAACATATGTGCTCTCGATCTTTGCATATGACCCGAAATGTCGCCTGGAAAAATGCGAGCCGGGTGAGGCGCAACATGTCTATGGCCAGTATATACTGGTGAACCTCTCCTGGTTGGCTGGGAGCTTAGGCACTTTGTTGTTGGATATGGGCATCTTTGTTCAGTTTTTCCTGTATAGCAAGGCAGGGGATGAGGAAGAGGGAGACGACGTGATAGACGAGGAGGAAGAAGAACGTAGCATCGAAACGGAGAGATGGGAGCAACGACCAGTTCTGGAACGGAACGCATCGAACTGGTCGCGGTAGGATATTTACATGAGGAACAGGCTCACTATCCGGATTATTTGGCTCCTGGAGTTCGGGTTGGGAAAATATGTGCATATCTTTCATTCGGAATAGAAAAATCTCTAGCATAAGGTCTAGCATCAGCAATGATATCTTTGCTTTGTCAACTTTAGACTATCTCGAACAGAATCCCAATCTGGGCGGTTAGACTACTCAGAGCCAACCAACTCTTCTGCACAGGAAACTTGCACCTCCAGCAAACGCAGTCACCCCTGTGAATACAATCAGGGATCCGTATCCGGACCCGTAACCACCCACAGCATCCCCCTCCCAAGATCGGCTCTTCATGAGAAGCTCGCTCAAGGGGCCCGACACAACATTACCAATTCCTCTGCCAGATGCGAGAACACCAATGACCATGGGAGGGTACATATCACTATTTCTTTGCGTCCCGCTTGCCGTGCTAGCGATGCTCCCGTGGGATGCGACCTCCTTCATGATCCCCGCCCAGGCGCTGGTGAAGGAGCCGGCAAATATACCATAGACTATGCTAAACACATATAGCACACCAAGACTATTAGCGAAACCCCATATCAGGAACGTGCCCACCGTGGCCCCAACAGTCGACACCATGAGACAGGTAGTGACATGGAAACGGTCACTCAGCCAGCCCATCGCAATACAGCCAACGACGGAGGCAACGTTATTGAGCAAGATGGTCAGGGCAGAGGGAAAGGCGCCGGCGTCGAGCGAGTCGCGTGCGTAAGATGGCAGATAGATGCCCGGAAGGAAGAATCCGGTGGCTTCGATGATATTTGTGAGCTGATAGATGGCAAACATGGGCGAAAGCACAAAGCTGAAGCTGATCGGTCTGGGGCGAGTCATGGCAGGGACTGGAACACGCGGCTTGAGGAAGTAAGCGAGAGGTGCAGTCAAGCCGAACAGCATCCCTGACCAGATCCGGAGCGTCGTCTTGTACCCGTATGCGTCAAGGAAGTGCTTAAGCAAGAGTGGCAAGGCGACCTCAGATAAGCCAGCACCGGACCACATTATGCCATATGCTAGACCTTTTCGTTTGACAAACCATTCATCCATGTATAAGATACATGGGATGTACGCTATCCCTCCCCCGATACCATAAAAGACGCCCTGAGTGACGATGAGATGTGTGACGGTGGTAGAGAACGAGCTCATCGCAAGTGCAAAGCACATGATGAGGAGGCCCACGAGTGGCATCCAACGAGCAGGCCGAGGAAACATTCTATTGAAGGCCATCAGAGGCACTGCCGACAAATACATGATCCCCTGTGAGATGTTAGCCTGAGTGTCTCAATTGGATAGCCATATCCTGTTCAATCGTACCATGGCGCAAGTACCAATTACAGCAATATTTGACTGCCCGGAAAACGGTTCGTGTTTGCTGTAGTAGTCTTGGAATAGACCAAAAGAGAAGCAGGAACCCCAGACAAGAGCCTCGACGGCAAACGCAGCCACCAAGAAGAGGTACGCATCCTTGCCGCTATCGACAGGCGGCAGAGAGAACTCTTGCCCTCCATTCGCCGGCCCGACGAGGTCGTTACCATTATTGCTGACGCCGGTCTCTGCGGAAGACTCGTTTAGGGGCCGGAGCGCGAGGGACGGCGGTTCTGCGACCTCTGCGGACGCCATCATCAAAGACAGGGATGATTTAGCAAGTAAGAAGTTTATTCGTATTGTGATGAAGTATTTCCACATGGGGGATCGGACTTCGATGGGACTTTTATATCATAGTCAACTCCAAGACCCAGTTGATAAGGATCGCTTACGTGCTACGGGTGACCATCAACAATTCCTTCTTGGCCATATAGTCAATCCTCCAGCGCCCTTCGCGGGACATACGGGAAGGGTCCATATTGGTGGAGTGTTTTATGCAGCGAAATCCTGGGCAGTCCGTCCATACCTAAGGTAGGTAGTGACTAGGATGGCAATTGACTCGATGGACTTTAGGAGACTCAGATGCAGTCATTCATATCCCACCGATTCCAACCGCCATTGGAATAACTTAAACTAGTTTCAAACAAGTCAAGCGCCTGCGGGATAGATACAGAAGATCTAGGGAATGCTGCTCACTTGGTAGGCGGCCGCGATTGTGGGGTTAAAGAGAGGCTTGGGGAAAAGAACCGAGGCAACTGGCGCTGACATGGTGGGGATCGCGGCAGTACACTTAGTGCCTCCTGGTTAACGGTAACCATGAACAATCGATACTTCTTCATAGGCGGCTCACTCTGTTTTGCTTAGCTAGACTTTTTCTTTGAAGTACATAGATTCGTCTCTAGTCGATAACTGTATTCGGAATTGCTCGTCTCTCTGTATCATATTGCAAACATTCAAGAAAGTCTGTGGTCGGCAATGGCAGACTCGGTCATCAGCGTCGCCTACAACGGCAGAATAGCCACCATCACGATTAACAACGACAAGAAACTCAATGCTTTGAATCAGCAGCAATATTACGAGCTCGGTCAGACGCTGCGGGAGGTTGCTACTCACGATGAGGTCTACATAACCCTCCTTCAAGCCAAAGGGCGCTACTTCTCAGCGTATGAACTCCAACAAGCTCCACAGCGCTGTCTGGGACCCATCACTAACACTCCTCGTCTTACAGCGGTGCAGATGTCTCTATCACAGACAATGCGCCGAGCGGAAAGACCCCAGAAGTGCACCTACATTGGCTACGTAGCTTCGTGGCGCTGAACCTGAACATTGCGCAGGCCTTCTACTCACATCCCAAGATCCTCGTCGCAGCGCTCAATGGGCCCGTCATCGGTCTGACGGCCGCGCTGGTCGCCTTCGCCGACTTTATCTACTGCGCCCCTCACACGTTCCTGCTCACGCCCTTCTCGTCGCTTGGGCTGGTCGCTGAAGGTGCTGCGTCGCGCGGGCTGGTGCAGCGGCTCGGCATCAGCAAGGCCAACGAGGCACTCATCATGAGCAAGCGCGTCACTTCCGAGGAGCTACTTGCGACAGGCTTCGTCAACAAGATATTCGACTGCAAGAAAGGCGAGGACGACAAGTTCAACCAGCTGGTGCTGCAGGAAGTCAATGACAGGCTAGGAGAGCATCTCATTGGGGACAGCTTGACCGGCATCAAGAAGCTCATCCGCAAGCCGGAGAACGATATTCTAGACAAACAGAACATCACTGAGGTATTCGCCGGACTGGAGAGGTTCATGAGCGGAGTGCCACAGGAAGAATTCAGGAAAATTGCATCAGGAGAGAAACGTCATAAGCTGTAGAAACCAAAGGCTTCAATATAATGTATTATTTTGGTGTTATGACTGGATATCATATCAGCAGTCCGAATAACAGGTTGGTTTTCTTCCAGTAGTCCTGCGATGACTTGATCAACCGTTGCCGTGCTGGGCCGCTGTCCAACCCGGTCTTTTCATAGACTACCTCCTCTAGCCCCTTGATCTCATCACGGCTGGAGCCGGCTGGAGGACTAAAGCAACAGCGGAGTAGAGAAATGTCGTAGAGCCACTGGATCAGCAAATCTTTTCGTTCTGCTTCTGTCACATCTGAAACGGCTTTGCCATTGGGCTCATTATTGCCCTCCGCGTCTTCATGACCATTTGCCTCTTCTGAAGGCTCCGCGGATTTGGGCTTCGCTAGATGGGCCGCCAATGCCTCAAGCCACGCTTCACTGAGCTGCTTGGTAAGGTGCTGCTTCATCGTCGTTACTGCCACAGGGCTCCAAAGGTCCGTACCAGCATCGCCCATTGCGATAGTAAGATCACGAAGAAATCTGAAAACGCCAGGCGAAGGTGACGTTGGGAGCTCCGGCTCGCCCTCCCACAGACTTCGGCCGATGACGCTCTTTCTGGCCAATGCCGAGGTGACGAACTCATCCATTGGTGAGATAATCACGGTTTGTGCAACCTTGTCTTGCAGCGGGGGCACAAGGGCCATGCCAAAGCTTTCCACCACTTTCAACTTTGGCAACTTAGCGCGAATGTCTCGCAGTATTCGCACCAGATACATGGCGATGTGGCCATTATCAGGCCTGTCTTTGTGAGCATCCCATAGTTTTGTGAACTGAGAATCTAGATCCTGAAAGGCTTTCTCAAGTGACTTGTTGAGGTGATCGTGTAGTTTTTGCGGATCCTCCCTGCTCAACTCCTGTTGGCGCTGTTCGATGACTTCCTCGTCTTCGATCTCATCCACATCGTTGTCCCATCTCTGGCGCCTTAGCTGTTCGACGATCTGCCCCACATCGTCAATCACTCGATACCAGGATCTGTAGCTATTTACGGCTTTTGATACCGCCTGATTCCTGCCATATAGACGCGAGATGACATCCTGAGTAAACTGATTTGCGCCGCCGGATAGATCAATGTCAAGGGCATCCTCATCCCAGAGACTCAGATGTTGATCAGTAATACCCTCTTTCCAAGCGTCAAGCGTGGCGGAAACCTCTGAGGCCACAAGTCGTAGCTTGTTGACTTTCGTATCCAAAACTTCAACGACATGAGCATTGATGGTCGTTCGAAATTTTTCAAGCATAGTCGAAGGATCGAACCCTTTGGCTTTACCTCCGTCTCTGATCCAAAGTTGCAAAACATCTGTCCTCATCTCAACAATGGCTTTGAAGTCTACCACCTTCTCCAAAGTCCTCTCAAGGCCTTGTAGCAGTACTTCTCCACCTCCGGTAGCCCATCTCATAAGCATCTCCTTCGCTTGCTTGCCGTCTAAGTCGTCGTGGCGTATGTACGGCTTGAAATACTGGATATCATCGCCGCACCATCTCTCATAGATATCGAGTCGTAGCCCCTCAAGTTCCTTCAAGGACGGGTCGACGAGAAGGCGGTCTTTCTTGAGCCCCATTAAGGCTTCTTTCAGCTTATTAGGTACGAGAGCTTGTACATCTAGGAGAGTTCTCGTGTAGAGCCCTAGACTCTTGACGACATCCTTGGTGCTCCTTTCTCTCTCGTGTTCCTCGATCTCGAAAGCAAGCGCCATTGCCTCGCCTCTGACACGTAGAAAGTGCCTAACAACATCTCGGGCACCAGAGTTGTCTGTCAGACTATACGCACATAACGCCTTTAGTACTGCCTCACGATCCGCCTGTTCTTCAGCCTGCTTCAAGACAATTTCAATTCCACGAAGCAGCCTCCGTTTCAAGTTCCCCAAGCTCTTCTTCGAAGCTTCGACGGCAGCGTTTATTTGCACATTGGTGACGTCGTCCCCAAGACTCTTAACCAGCAGTCTACTCAAGACCAATACCTTCGCAGCAATGACCAATCTGTCCCCGCGACTTGGTGTATCTGGGCCTGTATCCTCCTGGATCTTATTCTTTGCCGAGCCGGAGCTCTTCAACATTCTCGCCACAGCCAGCACACAAGCCTCGAGCAGCTTGGCCCTCGCGACCAAACCCAGGCCTGATCCGTCTCCAGCGCCAACGTCGGGCACGTCCTCGCGTTCCTTGACAAATTTGCCTAACCCTGCTACCTTCCCGCCGACAACCGCACGGCCACACCGCCCGCCCATGCGGCCAAGAGTGCCCTGGACAATGTCCATCTCTGCGCGCATGCGGACGATGGCGTCTGCGGTGCCGAGCAGCTCACGGTAGCTGCTGCCGACCTGTGTGCGCAGGCGCGCGGCCTTGTCCTCGACGGCGACATGGAGAGCTTTGTGGATGGAACGGATCTGGGGTAAGGTGTGAGCGCCGGAGAAGATCTGGGCTGACGACGTCAAGGTCGACAGGTCGGGCGTGGTTGTCGCCATGTGGAGGGTTTGTAGAGCTCGTCACGCTCGTTTATGCGGTCGAACAGGAGCGGCTGTCCTTCTGAGCTTTCGATTACAGAGTAAGATTCGCTTCCGGCAGACCCATACTCGAGTTCGTGTCTCCTGCCAGACGACTGTTGTGGTGTGCAGGAACGTCAAGGTGGACAAATCAAATGGTTCAGCTTGCACAGGCCAGCTTTCTGGTGTTGTGGTAGTGGGATGGTGGACGGCCCAACATCCACCAAACAGCTCCACTAGCTACTGCAAGCATAATTGACATTCGGGATCTTTGCGTTCTAGGCATAACCTATAAAACAAAATCACTGGACATGATAGGCTTTGAAACCAGATTGAGTTATGAATAGATTCGAATCAACAACAAGTCGCTTTCTATTGCTTGCTCTATCACAGCTTGACACTCTTGACCAAACCCGACTTGATACCTGTCAACTCGCCTTGGTAACCACCCTTGCCTTCACCTCCCTTGTAGACAGCACGCATGCTTCCAAGCTTCTGCTGCTTGGCCATGTACGCCTTCCTCTTCTTGACTCTTGGGTTTCTGACGTCCTTCTTCCTGTGTGGCGTCAAACCCTTGTTCTTCTGAATGGCATATGTGATCTTCCGCTTGCCGTCCTCGCCAACCTCCTCCCGCTCGATCACCCTATCTGCCTTGCTGGCAGCGGCGAGAGCCTCATATTTGGCGGCCTTGTCATCCTTCTTCCTTTGAGATCTGGCGGCGACCATATCATAATACTCATCCTCATCATCCCGCAGGCGGTTTGCGACATCGTCATCCTCACCGCCGCTGTCCTCGCCCAGAGCAGTGCCATGCTTGGAGTCCTTCTGACCTCGTCGCTCAGCCTCCGCGTTCAGTCGGGCTTGGCGGTCCCTGAGACGCTCTCTGTACGGTATATCCACATCACCACCGGCTTCCCGTCCAGCATCTGACCGGCGATTTGCCTTCTGAACGATCTGCGAGGTATAGAACCGCAAACTCTTCTTCTTGGCCACCTTGTCAGCTGCTGTCCTAGCATCAATGATATCTTCCTCGCCGAAATCGGAACGATCATCATCAGCCTGTGCGGTCGTCGAAGTAGCAAACTTGACTTTCTTGGATTTCTTGGAGGTGTCAAGCAGAGCAGATAGATCTGCGAGAGACTCCTCTATCTCCTTCGCCTTGGCTCGCTTCTCCTTGTCTGCCTTCTTCTTCTTCTTCTCAGCGCCATTAATGCCCAGATCCTTGGATATCTTGCCGGCTTTCTTTGTGACCAGCGACTGCTCAAAAGCGTCCGATTCATCTTCAGGGGGCGAAGGAAGCGCTGCAACTGAGGTCCTTGACGGCTTGAGACTCTTCACCTTCTGCCATGCCTCACGGCAGCCAACGAGAGTCTCCATAATCTCGTGGTCCCTGAGCTCAGCAGGATCGAGTGGCTTCTGCGTGTTATCAGCATCCCGGGCAGGAGATGTCAGGATAGCGAAGTAGCTAGCAAGTGCTGCAATGTAGCTTCCCAGCACCCAGTGTCTTACAACCTCCAGAGACTTGCTCGGCTTGCCCTCGGCTTCCTTCTGGCAGGCAGCCAACTGAGGCTGCAGTGTTTGAAACTCATCAACCAGATATTCAAACTCAGGGTAACGTGCTTGCAGGATCCGTAGACGTTCTTCAGGGCCCATGTCGTCTGTAATCTCAAGATCCTTGAGAACCTCTGTCACGACCTCGCCGCCCTCGGCCTCAGCATCCGGAGCCAGCCATTCGTCCTCATCAAAGATGAAATCAGCCTCAGACATCTTAGATAGCTTCTTCTGCTGCAACCTGCGTGCCTCAGCCTCCTCCTCGAGCGCATCCGCTTCAGTCTCGATGTTATCGGCATTGTAGTATTCTTGCTTCGAGTCTCCCCACCAGCTGGCGTCTCCTTCTTCGTTCACTTCTTGTTCGTCTTCCGAGTCTTCTACAACTTTCTTAGCCGCCTTGCCCTTCTGCAATTCCGGCTCATCATCGCTGTCCTCCCCTTCCTCGGACTGATCATCGAAGTCGAGGATCTCCTCGTCGGACGGCTCAAGGAAGTCGTCTTCCTCTTGTTGTCTCTTCAAACGCTTGGATCGGGGCTCGTCTTCTAGCAGTATCTTGTCTTTGTTTATGAAGTACTCCTCCTCGGAATCAGCAAGGTCCTCGTAGGTGGTGACGGGTCCCAGTCGTGCATCGGTGGGGTCGAAGTCTTTTGGGCCGCTGCCCCCAGAGGGGGGGGATGCCTTTCTCTTTTTTCCCATGTTGGCGAGTAGAGGCTTCTCTGTCAACCTGATTTTATTTTGCTTTGTTATGTGCGCTTATCATGCGCGTGCGCTGTGATGCAGCTCCCGCCCAGAGCTGTAGAGTCGTTGATATGATCTTTTCTTGGGTTGTTACCGCCTTCCAACTTTCTGCCAGAATTTTTTTTTCTTTGCAACGGCAATGGGTGGTAGCCCACCCCCACCAGCTACCTAGGTGCCGCACTAATGCAACGGCGGGAAGCGCTAAAGTTGCTGAAAGGAATAGGTCGGCCCAAGCCTCAGGATCGCTTGTCTTATTGAACGGTCGATGCACTGTAAGCTGGAGCACGTACTTTGGGCATCTCATCTTCCTTCATACGGGATTCAGACATACATCAGCACTTGATACCAAAACACAGCTTCACTGCTGATCTACATACCTACACTAAGTACAGTACCTAGTAGGCTATAGCACTAGACGACTGCCGACTTCATTCGTCCACGAATCCTCTCATTTACGACTACCAACCGCTTTGAGTAGTGCTTATATGAATGCTTACTGCGCCTCTCTTGCGCATCCAGCGGGATCTAGGGCTGGTCTGACAGGGGATTGGTGAAATTAGATGCTCACAGGGGACTCCAACAAGCCTTGAACTCTCAATCTCGCGTCTCCTTATCGCGGCCGCCTAATTCCTCAGAGTCCACGTACAGCGTGGAAGCTCTTTGCCCCCTCGACGATCCGATACCCGCTCATAAGGCGGACGGTCCTAGAAACCTTGACCTGTTTTTTGCGGAGGCTCCATGGACAGACTACCTCCTCTCTCTAACAAGTACGTTCTAGCATCGGTAGGAATCCTCGGTTCTACGCTGTTAGCCGCCACCATGGGCTTCTTCAACAAGAATCACATGCCCGTGGAGGGCAAGGTACAATGACCCATCTCAAGAACGGCGTTACACCGAACTAACGTGACTTACCGTAGACTATTTTACTTACTGGTGCATCAGAGGGCTTGGGCCGATCGGCAGCCAGAGAACTAGCTGCCAAAGGAGCAAATGTAATCATCGTTGCGCGGAATGTTGGCAAGCTCGAGGATGCTCTGGCCGAGATCAGCGTGGGTGGATCTTGGCTCTGCTGCAAGGCTACATCTCGAAATGCTAACAAGCTATATCTAGGCCGCGGCCAAAGACCCGCGCACGCAACGCTTCCACTACATCTCGGCCGACGTGTCTGAGGACGACTATGCCGTGCGCGTTGTGGCGGAGGCCATCTCCTGGAACGGCGGGCACTCGCCCGACATCGTGTGGTGTGTTGCCGGCTCGTCGACGCCGATGCTCTGGCAGGATGAGAAGGCTCTCCAGGAGACCCGGCGGGAGATGGGCGTCAACTTCTGGGGCGCGTGCGAGATGTCGCACGCCATCCTGCGCGAGTGGTGGTCGCCCGAGAACAGCTTCACCGAGCCCAAGCACTTCATCTTCACGGCCTCTGTCCTGGCACTGTACACGATCGTGGGATACGGCCCGTACTCACCCACGAAGTGGGCCATCCGCGGACTTGCAGACACACTCACCCAGGAGGCAATGCTCTACCCGAAACAGCCCGTCAAGATTCATATCGTGTACCCGGGCACGATCCTGTCGCCCGGCTTCGAGCGCGAGCAGCGCGTCAAGCCGGATGTCACGCTGCAGCTTGAGAAGGACGACCCGCAAATGACGCCTGATCAGGTGGCAACCGCTGCGATTGCTGGTCTCGAGGCTGGCAAGCACTTCGTCACTGTGAATTTCTTAGGTGAGATGATGCGCTGGGGTGTCATGGGCGGCTCGCTGAGAAACAACTGGTTTGTCGACACGTTGGGCGCATTCCTCCTCGCTCTGGCTTGGTTTTTCGTACATCTTGTCATGCACGGAGATATTAAGAAGTATGCGAAGAAGCATGGACATCCTAGTGGCTATCCTAAGAAGATATAATGTATAGTACGGGCGGAGATATGGAGTTAAAATTTCGCTTGGATATAGTAGCCGAATGGAAAATGGCGAGACATGGGATGGCTAATTGTCGAGAACTCGTGCCACATTACAACTTTACAGACTATTTAGCTACACAGAAAGTTCTTGTAAGAGATGGAGAGAGATTGAAGGCACTCGTGAATCACACATGATGTGGTAATAATGTTTTTAATCATTAGAATCAGCTAATGACGCTACCTCAAATTCCTGACCATTTACCAAACTTGAGATACTGCTTGTACAGCTCCCTGAAGATTGCCCTTCCGCTCCCATCCATCGCATCGTTCATAATTCTCCGTATCTCCGTAGGGGAGATGTCGAGAATCGAGTAAATACCAGGCTCAAGTGCCTCCTGTACATCGTGTGACACGCTCTTTTCTAACTGCAGCTTAATGTACAGCATCAGAACAAGATACATGTGTTGACCCGCCAAGCGTTTCGCCGCATCAGTGGCAGAATCCAAACTACTTGGTTGCGAGCGCGTCACCGAAGCGACAGTAGGCTCGCAGACTAATGTCAGCAGCCGAGAGTATGATTTGGCGTCATCACGACGTGAGATAGCTTTAGGGTCGGCAGGTTTACGAGAGAGAAGATCGATCAGTAGTGATTGCAGGACCGAGATGAGAAGGTGAAAATGGCCTTCTAGTCGCAAGCGATGGCGCTTGATGATTATCTCTACCAGTTGGCAGAGAAGAATGTACCCCTTGCGAGAATATTTGGTATCTGTTGCACTCTGCTCGCAAATGGTGGACACGGTGCTCAGTGTGACCTCTATGTTCCACTGGCTCATGGCAGATGCTCTCTTGTCCAGAAGTGTATGCATTATCTGAGCAGTGAGAGCAAAGTCGGGTTCAGTAGTAGCTTGAAGCAGGTGACGTGACAATATGCTGTGTGCCGTCGCAAGATCGAAGTTGTCGATTCGTGAGGAGACTAATGTGTCCGGCCCTAATGAATGTTAGCCAGAGTCAGGGTTAGAAAACTGTTTCACTCACCAGACTGGATATCGACAAGTCTGTGAACGGCAAGTAACTTTCCGAGCGGCATCGAATCCGTAGGTAAGCCGGACAGCAAGTCTCGGAGTTGCTGAAGCTGCCCTGTATTGTCGAGGCCGTCAATAGCGGTGTTGATATACTCGAGAATATCGTTTCTATCGGTTTCGAACGTGGGATCAACATGGCTTTCCGGTGGAAAATGTTCTTGAAGGCCATCTGTCTTCTCTAGCTGAACAGCGAGAGCCAGAGGAAGATGCTGTTTGAAATGATTAACCAGAAGCGTTTTGAGTTTCCACCCGGCCTTTAGCCCCTGAGTGCAAAACTTCTCAGCAACGTTTCCTAGGTCTTCCAGGTCCGGCTGTATTTGCTCCTGGATGGCTAGGGAGGTGACAGCATTGAGCTCTTCCAAATTGATCAAGGCGACGGCCTTTGACATGCCACCGAGATGTATATCCCTTAAGAACACTTTCGCCTCAACAGAGAGGGATTGTCTGACAGCTTCTAAGTCGATAGGGGCTTGTTTTGACGATCTATAGTTAGAGGACTGTTCCAAGGCGGTCGTCATGGCGCTGGATAGCAAGAGCCGGATGGTGTTGCTGCTCGATATACTTCGAGCACTCCAAGATGCAATAACTTCGGCGGCCTCGGCAAGGTATTCCCGCTCCCTGACTTCCAGATTGGACGTCATTTGCCTACAAGATTAGTACAAGTCTCCTTGCATCGTACACGTCTTATCCTTACCTCAGAGTAAGCTCCGCATACTCGGTGAAAAGCCGCAGGACCTCATATGCAGCTGAGAGATGACCAACACCGAGAGACGCTGCCATCAACACATTGCCAATATCGACCAGGTCGATAAACTTCATATTCTGTAATAATGTTAGACTTTCTTCCTCCTAAGTATTCGAGTAACAACAGAGTGCATTACGGACCTCGTAAAACGTTGGTCTGTGCATCAGCTTTGTCATTAGACTCAGAATTATTTTCGAGTGGGCAACTAATCCTTCTCCCTTCTCGAGAGGTTTCTGTGATCGTACAAGCTTCAACAGCGAGAGCATTATCAATTCTCGCTGATCTCGAGAAAAGCACTCCTGTGGCATGTCTAGCAAGGCGCGAAATAGCGTCAAGCGAGATGGACACATATCATTTATTTGATATCCCGCGTCGGTCGATAATAATTGTGTCACTTCTTTAATTACATTGCCTGTAAATCAATTAGCTTTTTATGGTTCGAGGTATTCATGGTAAGATAATGGATTTCCATACTGATGATGATCCTATTATTCAGGTTATGTTCATTGGCTAAAAGCTTGGCCAAAGTATCGTTCTTCGTGTGTCTATCATCTGTAGTTCGTGCAATAACAGGTCGAATGATTCCCGGGACTTGGCCAGAGTTTTTTGTCGTTAAGCTATCGTTGGTTAGAAGCAGGCTAGGCACTCAGAACTGATGACTTACGCGAGTAGTCTGGGACATTCATATAGTAATTGATCTAAGATCTCTGGTCCACCAGTGACGCTCTTCTTGCCTTTGCTAGAGTTAAGCCTGCCCAGGAAGTCGGAAACAAGACTACCTGCTTCAGACTCGTAGCCGCCTCCTGGATAACCTGACACCCAGGCTACATAAGCACATCGAAACGACTCCAAGGTCACTTCTCCCGAAAGAGATCCCTTCTTAAGTTCGTCCCTGAGCTCTGGGCGGATCTTATCCCAGATCTCCCGGCTCTGGTGCGAGCTGACCCAAGAAAATGTCCTCCTTGTAACACTCCAGCGCAACGACGCAATGCGTTCTGGGACAGAAGCACTTGGTTTCCTGCTCCAGGTAATATCGAAAAGACGAGTGTTGATTGCGTCGACGTAATCATCGTCGAAATTTGCCTTCGAAATAGCGTCGAGTATTACAAGCAAAGCTTCGCTTTGAGAAGTACTCTCGTGTGCGTCCAGCCAATCTAATAAACTGAGTAACTGTTTGCTCGTCATAGACACCTCTACAAGGCTTGAAACCACGTCTCGAATGCCATGATTCGACCAGATGGCAATGCTGCTGGTTGCTTTGGGGTTGGCAAGCGCCTTGTCCAGATATTCAAACCATTTTTTGACGAAGCTAGAAAGATCACGGCTCTTAGCAAATCCATTCGCCAGTGACGCGATGAATTTTACCAAGTGGTCATCCGTCTTGACAACCTTTGGACTTAGTGTCTGGTCCAGCACTTGTGTTAAGAGATCAATGCCGTCCTGCGAAATGAGAAACACGTCGGTATCAGCAACAGAAATGCGATATAGAAGTTCCCAGTTGACATCGTCGCCCACAGCATAGTTACTACAGACAGCGCGAAGGTTGTCAGTTGATAACCTTATCCCATGATCGCGTGCCATCTCCAACATGAAGCTAACCACACGAGTACGTTCAAGATCGTTCGTGTGCCTAAGAGGTTCCTCAAGCACGTCGAAAACTTTCTGGATCCACTCTTCGTTATCCTTCTTTGCACTTGCTTCTCCAACGATAACAGGTGCCTCGAGTGCTAGATCAAACAGCACAGGGGCTGATGTAGTCACATGAGACTTGATAATTTCGACTGCCGTCTCTAGCACTGAAAGGTCCTTTCGACTCATGAAGAATGACCGCGCAGGCATTATCATGATCTTGGTATAAAAGCGGCGAAGATCTTTAGTCCAAGTCAACTTTATTTGGGAATCGATGGAAAGGTCCTGCTGCTTCCGATACCCAAGCAACTTGCTCAAGATAGAACATAGACTTTGTGATAATGCTGTGGCTACTTCGTATGCATCTTGCTGTCCCTGCAGGTGAAAGTCCCAGATACGCTGGATCAGAGTCGTCCATGACTTTTGGTTCTTAAAGGGCTCAGTGAGCTGCTCAAATAGTGCCAAGTCGCAAAGATCCACCATAGGACGTATCAAGTCGGTTGTGTCCTTTGCAGAAGAACTGAACAAGGATTTCACATGCTCAGCTCCCATCGTCTCATGTGAACCCTTTGCGACGACGTCAATCCTCTCCATCAAAAACCGAACAGCGTCGAATGCTGATGCAGCTGATTCTAGACACCGTGGTGTTTCTTGTAGCTCACGTAGGTCAAAGGTAGCAGGGCTCGATCGTTTTCTCTTTCGTGTCGCTGGAACATGTCCGTCTATGGGAGCATCGACCATTTCAACATCCGGATTCTTCCAAACGGCTCCATCTCGAGGCTTTGCGAATTCGGCTAAACTTTGTCGCAGCACTGATATAAATTGTCGTTCGGAAAGAGACTTCGCGAGTGAGAATAGGGGAATTCTCATGAAAATACACCCCAAAATATTCCACACCAGCGGATAGCGGCGAAAACATTCCCCTTCAGTAGTATCTGCTTTCATACTTTTCAGAAGCCATCGCAGAACCATTTCCTCAGAAGCGTGAAAGGAGCCCTCAGAAGTGCTTGAAAGACCCGTCCATATTATCCTGAGCTTCTCTGGCGTTGGCTGTGTTGATTTATCGAGGTTTCGCACGATCTTGATTAGATTGGCATCGCCAGCCTGTCGAGGGCCCTAAGGGAACGTTAGTTCTCCGTGTAAATTCCAGAAAAGGAACATTTGTTTACTCACATCGACGAGGGTATCGGTAGCCATGGCATAGATTGTTCTCCAACGGCCATAGTCCGGAGTACGTGGTGGAATAGTTGAAGTTCACCGTCGCTGTTGCGTAGAATAAGTCCTCCAAATGTTCGGCCCCGCCAATCGACTTGGAAGCTCCCCAGCGCTGGAAATTTTGAAAATTCTGCCGACGTGGATAACCAAAAACGGCATGGTCAGCCTTCACCGCCTACCCAGCTCCCTCGGGTGTCATAGGGACTGGCCGGACCGACAGCTCCAACCTGCTTTGTCGTGCTCTGAGAAATTAACATCATACGAAATACAGCACCTCTACAACCCGTCCATCTCTAGCAGCAGCACTCCAATCGAAGAGCTCGTGTGAGGTACGTATACCGCCATTGTGCTGTCAACGAATTGGGGCTGATGCGACAGCTTTTTGCGCAGTGTGCATCAAAAGATGGCAGAGACAGCAGTTCCTCCCCCTCCGCCCAGCACGGTCGCGCGACCAGTCAGTGAGGCACTTTTGAACGAGAAGGTAGGCATATACCGTTCTGCAGGTGAGCGGAAGAGATGAATCTATTGCTGACACATAACTTGTAGTGGGACCGATGCCTGTCCAACCTGCTGGTCAAATCTACTCTCGGACTGGGCTTCGGCGTTGTGTTCTCGGTGCTCCTGTTCAAGCGAAGAGCATGGCCCGCATTTGTTGGAGTCGGTTTCGGTGCAGGCCGGGCGTATGAGGAGTGCAATTTCAGCCTGAAGCAGGCCGCCAAGGATATCAAGAAGCAAGCATAGGCGATTGGCAGAGTTGCGAAGCTGGACAGCGGGATCCTCAGCCCCGGGGGACAGTCATCAACACCTTGTATCAAACATTGTTCGAACGCATTAGGGGCACGAACGAACACGAACGAATACGCGAAATAGGGGCATGCAAAAGGAGGGCATACTGCAGCATGGCCTCGCGCTTGTTTAGAACATAGGGGGTATCGAATAGAGCTATATGTGTACAACGCCATCAACAAACATGACCAACCGCGCCGCTTTGCTTCCGGGCTCCCTTATATGCTTATCATGCTTTGAACACCCAATCGCTATGCAAATGCTTCGAAACAAGACCTCATTCCTCCACTGCTGACTCACGGCTCACAGGTCCCCAGATAGCAGTTATCTTCGGTGAGCCACTCGTCCTAATGGCGAACCGGCCCGGCGGATTGGGCGCCCCCGTGGTCGCTCAGAAACATCACTCTCAGGTCTCGTACTAGAGTGATTTCGGGCGACATGTGTGTGGCGCCAGTCTCGGTCTTGCGAGCCTTGGTCCACGGGGTTTGAGGTGAAGTCGGCCATTATCTTGGTCATCTGCTCTGAGCCAGCGGCGGCTGGTTTGATCTCTGAAGACTCTTGAGAATGCAGAGGCACCTCAGAAACGCTCATTTTCCGCTGCGCGTATCTGGCCAGCAGGTTGACACAGCGGGGGAAAGAAGGAGGCTTGCGGCGGACTGATTTCATGACTGAACGGACAGGCCGCCTTGAATTCGTGTGCGGTAAACCTTCCTCTCGGCCTGATGTCCACCTAGTTCTGCTCGAGTGGAGGTCGACACACTTGGTGACATCACGATATCTCCTCGCCTCGATCCATATGCATATGGCCAAAGACAGCACGAGGACCAGATTGCCGGCTCCTAAAAGGGCGATTTCAAGCCTTCCCGCTTCCAGTTCTTGGACGAGATCCCTCGTTAAATAAATCGATTGCCCGCCCATTTTGGTCCTCAATTGCCCGCGGGCTTGTAATAACAAGGTAATATGTGTTACTGTTCTTCTGATAGGTCACGGTAACAAGCGTATTACTTTCTAAGACGATCGCCGTAAACCTTCCCTCGAGGAAGCAATAACTGTGTTGGCCATCATGACCGCTGTAAGAAAGGGCAAGAATGGCTCATATATGGACGAGAAAGTGGACGCTGGTCCAAGCCCAATGCACGATCAAGCGAGAAGCAACGGTGTTGCTGCAAGTCCGCGTTGGCATCAGTGAACGCCATAGCGGTCAGAGCTCTAGCTGCTGATAATGGGGACCGGGTCAGCTCCGGTAGGCCTAAAACAGACCAAAAGAGCCCTAAGTAGGCGGAACTAACCAAGTAGCCCTGACGCCTACAGAAATGGCTCGAGTATGGAGAAATTCTGGAGGAGAATAGATCCATTGCCAGCCTGATTCAGGAAAGTGGTAAGTGCTGACCCCTAAGTTGCGGTCAAGCTGCTGCTGTTGTCTCTCCTCCTAGCCTCTGTCTTGAGGGGTCTAGTCCGGAACGGCCCGCCGCTGTCTCTCACCGCTCTTGAAGGTACACTCAAGGGTTCTTGCTCCTTACTGTTTGGCTTCGACTCACAGAGCTGGTTAAATGAACACAAATCTGTTACTCCTTGGCCCAAATATATTTTGTGATGCGCGTGGAAAAGATTCAATGGACCTTTTTGTAACCTATATAGTCTCCAATGACACAGCCAGTGCTGAATGGCTATTGGGCACATCTCATCTAGAACCCTTCTATCTAAGACCTCAACCTAACCCCGACCTCATAGATACGTACAAATCTACATATACAATTCATTCGAGAAAATTCCAGAATGATCTCCTGTGTGATGGCCATACCCCTGCGTGATTCTGCAGCCTGCCCAACATTTACATGACAATACAGCATTCTCCCATCTTACGACACAGCTTGGGAAGAAGAGTGCCCACCAAGTCCTCGTTATCATCAGGGCGTTGGTGTGATGGTTGCTGGTGCTGGTATCCTCCATGATGTTGCTGCTGGCCGCCGCCGTGATGAGGAGAGCCAACATTCCCGCCATAGCCCCCGCCGGTCTGAGGAGGCAGCGGGGGCGCGCCCGAGACGTCGCCGCCCTGGAGGTTCACGTAGATGCGGCCCTCGTTCTCCTCCGTCGCGTACTGCAGCCCCAGCTCCCGGCAGACCTGCTCGACGCGGGGCTTGATCTTCTGGACGTGGTTGGCCGAGTGGTTACCTCTGCCGACGATGACGTGCAGATGGGTCTGGCCGCGCGCCTGGGCGTCGCGTATCCTCGCCTCGAGGATGTCCTCGGCCTCCTCGACGAACTGCCCGTGCAGGTCGATCGTGTCCTCGGCGACGCGGCCCTGGGCGTTGTTCTCGCGGAAGATGTACTCGGACGCCTGCTTGTTGTACTCGTCCATCTTGGCCCCGTGGCGCTTGCCCTCGTTGCTCAGCTCCTTCGCCTCGGCGCCATCGCCGCGCTCGTACGCCTGGCGGGACTGTACGATCCCCAGGGGAGTCAGCAGGTCACAGTGTGGTTGGGATTCCAGCTTCTATGGAGGAGCGGATTCCGCGAGCTGAGAGAGGTAGGCACGTACCCGATCGAAGCACGAGTTGCGCTTCTGTGCTTCCGCCCGAGCCAGATCTCGTAGACGGTCGTACTCGGCCTCGGCATCATTGCTCGAGCTGTGGTTGAAGGCTGTGCGGCCGCAATGGCAGTCAGCAAAAGCAAACTTGGTGCCCGTTTGTATATTCACGGTAGGCGGGGCTTGGAGGGGTGTGCAACTAACCGCGTCCGCCCAACCGCTGCATGGGAACAGAAGCCGACGCCATCTTTGCCCAAAGTATCGCAATGCAGGGATGAAGAATGCGAGACTGTTCTACGACAATGCGGCAGATGTTGGCAGGAGCAGAAGAACACAAGGAGGAGGAGGAGGAGGCGTCCGATGTCAAGCAAGCAAGCCCACAGTGACGCTGCAGCGGCAGTCCAAGCAGGCTTTGGTGGTGGTTGGTCAAACACCAGCCGGCCGCTCAGCCTCTGACGATCTGCCATTGTCGCAGCCAATGCCGGGCCACTAAAACAACTGCAGCGCTCGGTGAGGCTGCAATAGCCTTCGCGCTAAAACGACCTGGCGGGAAATGCTGGTGTCAAGCAAGCTGAAGGTGGACCGGACCACCTCCCTATGAGACTTTCCACTGTACTCGTACAGAGTGGATGTTTGCGTGTCCCGGGCAGTTGGTTCAGTCAGTTGGTGCCTATGTCGGAGTGCGAATGATCTCATTGACTACCGCCATTTTCAACTTAATGATCTCCTACCATCTCAGCCTTTGATGCCAGCCCGTCACTTATCGTCTTCGGTTGCCCTTGCATTAGACCGTTGCACTAGGAGGGTCGGGATGGCAGCCGATAGGCAATGCGGGCCCTTCCCAGTGAACATTTCGCCCGCTGAAAAGCAAACAGGCAGGTCTGCCTGTGCAGTTCGAAGAGTGTTTGGCATTCCAATGTTACCTACCCGAGCTACCATAGCCCAACACAGGTGAACTGATGTGCGCCGTCTGTCTACCTATAGGTAGGCATACCGGATGTCCGTGGGAGCTCTGTCGCTAGGACCCGACAGAGCACTGCTGCCAGTCTTGAACTACATCTCCTGTGAAATTCTGAATCAAGATCAACCCCCCAGGTCCGACAGTCCTCAAAGAGGCATCAGGATCGCCCGTGTCTCAGCCACGTCAAATAGCTCTACTGCACTCTAAAATGGCAGCAGTTGCAACTTGCGACTGATGGTGAGGACCCGTCCGTCCCTGTCGTCATTTTGGAACCCATCTTTTTGTTCTAGTCTTTCCATGCCTTCCATCCATGATCTTGTGGCTTTCCTGCAAGACGGCAAACGGAGATGACGCGGTGAACGCCCAGACCAAGAGGAAGCAATCTCGAAAAAATAATGAGAAAACCCACTTGCTTCCCGGGTCGGGTCAGGGGCAAGACCACGTGGAATTGCTATTACAACCGATCTCCGCTGGACGGATACAGTGCAGGGCTAGGCGAGCGGCATGGTCATTGAACATGGACACTCTTGACACTCCACCTCGAGTCCACCGCGTGCTGAGAACCCCTGGGTAAAATCACAAACTAACGTCAATAGACTTCATGCCGTGGAGATCCTCTCTATTGACTCCCTGACGAGTCTAGTGTTGCTGAAAGGAAGACATCCCTGAAAAGATGAAATTGAGGTGTCGAAAGGCCGTATTGAGTGAAGCAACAGGCCACAGAGGCTTGTATCGCGTAGTTGTCAATGACTACCTACTCACCCGCTGCGTGGTATACAGTTCGAAATTGGCCTGGTTCGTGTGCTGAAATTAAACATGGCCCGTACTCTTAATGCGCTAGGAGATTTCGCAATGAGAAACGGCCTCAAAACAGCAACGGTCAACAGGGGGTGTACAGCACATCATGTTGGAAAATGGGCAGCCCCAATTTATCCCGAGATCACACTTCCATCCGCCATCTCATCTTTGCCACTGCTTGCTTACACTACGGCTTGGGTCTTCTGGAACCGCCAATTCCCAGGCCTGTGGGTTGGCGATCCCTCCCTCATATAGGCTCTTCTCACCTCACTCAACGGTGTTGCCAAGACGGTGTCCCGTAAATGATGTAAGTAGTGATGCGCAAAAAATAAAACCCCCCATGATGGCCCCTTTACATGCAGTATTGTCATCCGGCGATCGTAAGTCCGGAGTAGTGAAAAGGCACGGCATCTGATGAGAACGTGTTTGCTAAGACTGGCGGAGCTGAGTAGGCGAGGGATCACTCAAGGAGAACTTATTTTTGCACTGTGACAAACCCCCCAGTATTCAACGGTGCTGCATCTGCCATCGTACCTGCAGGGCTCCTGTGCATTTCGGTTCTGTCCTGTTCTGTCCCTGTATTTGCATGGCCCGCATAGCAAGCTGATCCCGGCTAATCCTGAAGGGCGTTTCATGTCTGAAGGAGAATGTCGGGTCTTGGGGGAACATCTGAGCCTGATTTCCCCTGTTCTACAGCGGCAGAGAAGCCAAGCACATGATGGCCAGCAGATCGTGGTACCTCCTCCAGCGAGTCGCATGAATTCCAGGGGTCTGGTCAAGAAGGAAAGTCGCCTCGTCGGAGTATTTCTGTTGATTTAGAAACCATCCCAACTTCCTTATACAACCATTCATCAGGATTGATGCCGATTCCCCTTTTCCTTCGTCTCAGTGTACGGAACATTGAAAAAAGCCCCGATACTTTGGTTTGGGACTTGCCCTGCTAAAAGTTCACTGAAGGGAGTTCTCATGTCTTCCAGATGTTCGAGACAAAGACATACCTACCGTTGAACATCAGCGTCTCAAGCTTGAAAGGCGCATACCTAACGACCGTAGCGGCTGGCCCGAGAGAGATAGACCATCCTACAGAGAGTTCGAGACCGTCTGTGATATGGTTTTCCTTTGTTGGCCAACGTGAGGGCTGAACCCGTAGGTCCGTTGCCGACACTGAAGATGGTATCAGGTTCTCTCAGGATAGTGCACAGTAGAAGTTACATAGGACAACTGTTTAGACAAAGAACTGGGGGTTTCCATGGCCGAAGCTCCTGGGGCAGGTAATTAATTGCGGCCAGGGCAGAGGCATGTACGCGAGACTTGTTTGTCTCAACGATGGCATGATTGCCCCTGTCTAGAAATCGAAGTTACAGAAGCTTCTACGCCGCAGCAGGCTGGCTGGCAGGGTCCGAGCCCACCCCAACAATGGTCGGCTGCTTCACATTGTGTGGGGTCATCCAGGGCGGTCGCTCGGAGGGCCGGGCATGCGGGGGTACTTAGCCACGGGTGTCATTTCTGGCGTGACACCAAGTATCTTGCGGTCTCCTATTCGTGAACTTACTGTAGCTGTGATACTCTTACTATAGTATCCTCGCTCGCTAGATATGCATTAGCTTGCTGTCATTAAAGAGTCAAGCGTCAGTTCCAGTCTGGCCCAGTACAGCACAGGGGAGGGGGTGGACCGTCCGTAGATGCTCCAGACCACGGACTAACATCGCTACCTATGCAATCCGCTCAGGTCCTACGGGCGGGGAGGAGGATAGCAGGCTGGGATCGAGATGGTCGCAAACGGAGAGGAAGCAGGATGACGGATTCGTGCAGCGAAACAATAGGCATGCTCGTCAGCTGAGCCAAAGGCTAGGCATTGTGCGAGGAGGAGATCTGCACGTCTGCCGCAGCCAGACACTGCCAGACTCCCGAGCTGCTCTATCAGCCTGTGAGTCTGCGGTGCAGTAATGCAGTACGTAGGCATGTCTCGCCCGTTCTTGGACAAAGAATGATGCTGTGCTGCACCAGATAAGAGCGCCACTTGACACCAAACGAACACCAGAGCAAAGAGGGGATTCGGATATGAGGAGGAGACGGACCAAATGGGATCCCCAGGTCGAGGTACCTGTCCGGCCAGCTGCAGGGGCTCCATTTAAGGTAAGGCGCTCCTGGATCTCTCAGGAGAGAAGTAGCCTTGTAGCTTGAGAGACCTGCTGCTCGAAATGAAGAGCGTACTCGCTGTGCTGAACACGCAGAAATGGCCCTCAAATGGCCGGCCTCTGGACTTTGGTAAGGTGGGGCATCAAGTCACCCTGATCAGCCGCTACTTTGGAGCCCCGGTCGCCTGGGCCAATCCGAAGCTTACCGCACGGGCCTGCTGCTAGTTGAAGTCACTGTTATAGCTCCTAGAAGCCCCCGCTAGTCCAGCAGCACCCGGTCCAAGTCCCAGCTCCAGGAAAATTGCACTTTCCCAAAGCCAGTGGCCCCCTGACGACTCCTTTCATTGCTCGCAGCAAAAGGCTCGTTTGGAGGCGCACTGGAACTGGAGAATCCACACCCCAAGGAAGCCAGGAGGAGGAGCCCTGAGAGTGGCCTGCATTGCATGACTTTTACCTTACCTGGCCGCCTTGCTTGACCTGCGCACTGTCCGCCTCTGTCTCTGTGGTACTGTGTTGTGTTTGTCCCCATTGCAAAAACCTACCTACCTCTCTACAGAAGGGAAGGGGCGCTGAGGGTCCGTTGTCAGGTACCTACATCCTCTGACTCTCCAAGGTAGACCTGCTAATCTCGAACTCACTGCACGGGTTTGCTTGGCCTGTTTTCTGCTGTACGGCGCAGAAGGAACCTACCTCCTTTCTCTGCTGAATAACAAGCACAACCTTGGAAGCAGGAAGGAGCCACCCACACAACACCACCCACCACCTGCACCTGTCTGCTGCACCTGCACCTGCACCCTACTGCATACTGGATACAGTACTGAGGACCTACACTCACTACTACCAGAACCAGAAGCAGCGAACCAGCCCCTTCCACTTTTCTCTTGCTGGCCCTTTCCTTCCTCCTCCACTCACCCACCACCAGCACCACCACTACCATCAACCGACCCTAATAACGCTAATAACCTTGTCCGGGTCTTGCCTCGCCTTGCCTTACCTAACCTAACCTAAGTCCGTCTCCCGTCCCATCAACCAACGGGCAGCCGCTCCTCTCTCTCGCTCTCACACTCACACTCACTCAATTCTTCTTCTCCTCCAACGCAAACCCGCCAAGCCTGTCGTTTCTCTCCCCATCACCAAAAAACAACTCCTCTCTTCTGGAGCTTGTTTTCCTTTTCCCCATTCCCTTCTCTCCAGCCTCTGTTTATCTTCGCCGACGTTGATTGACGGCTGGTATCATTGTGATTCATCGATACCGGGTAAGTTGCAGACCTCCCCCCCCCAAAAAGCAGCAAACCCGCGCCGTCCTGCATCTAGCATCGCTCCATTCTTCTCCCTCTGGCCCCCCGGGTCGCGGCAAATAACGGTGCCGTTTTCCGCATTTATCAGCCTCCAAAGGCGAAACACCCTGCCAATCCCTCCGACTGTCCATTCCCGTTCCCTTTGTCTCTGGCTTCACCTTTCTATCAATCGATCTCGACTGGTAGCACCCGCTCCCTGTTTTTGCTTGGTCTCGCCGCAACGCGCTGTGGAGAGAGGAACATACCTTGCCGACTCGGCACTAACAACGCTTGCAGACTCATCACTACAGCACCTTATCATCAATCGAACCGGACCAGTCTTCATTCCCAGGGATACGCGTAACGACAATCATTCAAGATGGGTTGTGGTATGAGCACGGAGGAGAAGGAGGGCAAGGCCCGTAACGAGGAGATTGAGAACCAGCTGAAGAGGGATCGCATGCAGCAGCGCAATGAGATCAAGATGCTACTTCTGGGTATGTTAATCCCCATTATCACAAGACTGGCCTGCCATCACAGCATTTCATGCCATCGATGCGGGCAGAATGGGCGACGCAGTCGCTAGCGTTATGGTCTGGTGCTAACCAACAACGCAGGTGCTGGTGAATCCGGAAAGTCGACGATTCTGAAGCAGATGAAGCTTATTCACGAGGGTGGCTATTCGCGCGATGAACGCGAGTCCTTCAAAGAAATCATTTTCAGCAACACCGTCCAGTCGATGCGTGTCATTCTGGAGGCAATGGAATCACTGGAGCTGCCTCTCGAGGATCAACGAATGGAGTACCATGTTCAGACAATTTTCATGCAACCGGCACAGATTGAGGGCGATGTCCTGCCGCCTGAGGTCGGCAACGCGATCGAGGCACTGTGGAAGGATCGTGGTGTCCAGAACTGCTTCAAGCGTTCAAGAGAATACCAGCTTAATGACTCTGCGAGATAGTAGGTGCCGCGTTACACTTGTCCCCGCTCCACTTTGATTAACATTCATCGCAGCTACTTCGATAACATCGCTCGCATTGCCGCGCCAGACTACATGCCTAATGATCAGGATGTCCTACGGTCTCGTGTGAAGACAACCGGTATCACGGAGACGACTTTCATCATAGGTGATCTCACCTACAGGATGTTCGATGTCGGTGGTCAGCGATCAGAGCGAAAGAAGTGGATTCACTGCTTCGAGAACGTCACCACCATCCTCTTCCTCGTTGCCATCTCCGAGTACGATCAGCTGCTGTTCGAGGATGAGACCGTCAACCGTATGCAGGAGGCTTTGACTCTGTTCGACTCCATCTGCAACTCCCGATGGTTTATCAAGACATCCATCATCCTCTTCTTGAATAAGATTGATCGTTTCAAGGAGAAGCTCCCCGTCAGCCCCATGAAGAATTACTTCCCCGACTACGAGGGTGGTGATGACTATGCCGCGGCTTGCGACTACATCTTGAACCGATTCGTGAGCTTGAACCAGCACGAGACCAAGCAGATCTACACACATTTCACCTGCGCCACCGATACAACGCAGATCCGATTCGTCATGGCTGCGGTCAATGGTAAGCATTGAAGCGAAGTCCCATCAAGACACAGGCGCTAACAATTGTCAGATATCATCATCCAGGAGAACCTCCGTCTCTGTGGTCTGATCTAAACTCGTTATTTCTCCCGATACCCATCTACGCTCATAATCGATCATCTCAAACATGGGGACCGAGCTTACTTCGAGTCCCTACCTCATGAACATCACCACGTCCCACGATTTGGCGATTCCACTACGTATTTCCTTCCTGTGTCTGTTTTTTTCGCCGCTGTCCTCCGCGCCTCCATATACCACACTATTGGTTGATCGTACGGGGAATGACGGACGATCTGTAACACAAATCTACCGGAGCACACGAAGAGAGGATAGCATCTGAATGGACAGGCGATGTGGGCGGTGTTAGATATTCTGTTTAATTACGATTTCTCTCTCAGCAGTTGTCGTGTCTGTCTCTTCATACTCTTTTTTTTCTATTGTTTTGCAGCTTACGGCATCAAAAGGCCCAAAAGGAGTGTCCCAACTTGACGGAAGTGAGGAATGAGAAACATGGTTGGTGTGTTGGATTATCTTAACGGCGATTTCCACGCCGCGCCGTATACCAGAGACGTTTCCGAATAGGCAACGCTTACCCCGAAAGGTCAAACTGTTTGGATTTGTCTGTACATTGAGAAATGCAGTCCTCTTAGAAGTCTTTCTTGCGCTTGTTTGCCGTGACGATGTTCGAAATGGTGATCTCGTGATCAGGTTCCGGATGAAACATATAAGAGACACCGTGACAAGGTGGGAACTTGGCAGAAGCAGCGGCTCCTTCCAAGCCAACCCACTCTACCAAGATCATGAACTGTTTGTAACTACCGGATCGTCGATTAATCGCCCGATCTGTCCTGGGGATAATCCTCTGACTTGGGTTTCGGCCCTTGGGAACCTAGTCCTAGCTTGGTGTCTGATGTATCCTGGCAAATTCATGCGACGAGGGATCTCTGCCAGGGCAGGGTGTTCGTTGATTTTACGCCTCCCTGATTTCATCAAACGCTAGGAATTCAAAAATGAACCCCAAAAGAGGGCTCTCCCGGTTCTGACCTGAGATATGGTATGTTTGACAGTATATCTGTGTTCCGGACTGCAAGAAATTGTAGATCCTCCTGTCTCCGAAGGGAGGCTGCAGCTCCGAGGGAGAGGGCAGATGTACATGCGCGGAACTTAAACGCAGTGCGTGGCTCTCATGGATAATTCTCCGATGGGCTATATTTAGTCCATCTGGGGATCTCAATGGCGAGGACCGGGCCAGTGCCCATATACTACTACGCCTACACTAGCTTCATATTGTATCTTAACGGAAGGTATATTGCGTAGCGCTGCAGCTTTTTTTGGCTTGTATACTGCTATACTGCTCTTGGCCATGTCCCCCCTTCTATGTGGGACTTTTGACATGTCTCTGCTCTCACCAACGCTTCCCGTTGCCATGACATGCCTCTGAAAATTGTTGACGCTATCGTATGCATTGCGACATATCTGAGAGACGAGGGGTCTCCTCTCTCTCGCTCTCTCTCTCTCTCTCTCTTTCTTGCTCCTCTGGCTGCAGTCCCTAGCAAAAGCAGAATTGCTGCTGTTACTGAGGTACAGTTCCCTCCCTTGATGCTTGTTGCTATACGGACAAGTAAGATCTAAGCCGGGCTCGGTTATCGTGCCATGCCAGCTCACCCTTGACGAATAATGAGGCAAACAATCAAGCATGGCTTCTTGGTATTCAGTCGCATATTAGCCCAATGATTACGGGTCGCTCTGGCGTAATTTAGCAGGTAGGTAGGTGTGTTGTCAACAGTCGTGCCGAAGACGGCTTGCTACCATGATTTGCCATCACATCACTCCTCAGGTGCCGCTCTCGTCGGGCGCTGCCGCAGGCGGGGACGGATAGTCCTGCTCGTCGAGGCCGGACTCCTCAAACTCGACAATCTGTAGCGCAAGCTGCTTGGCGGCAATTTCGATCTTCATGAAGTGTCTTTGGGTCCTGTTGGCCCTTCGGATGTCGTCTATGGCTCTCTGGAGGGTGTATGCGACGCGGGGGTCATTGCTATACGTAGCGGGGAGCGCGAAGCCTCCCATAGGCACGCCGCCGGCCGACCCGGGGACGGCAGGGAGGGGCAGCTGCGAGCCGGCGTATGTAGCGGGATCAACAGGGGGGCCGGGAGGAAGCGGTGGGTAGGCGTGGTGGTGGGGAGGTGCCAATGGCTGTGCTTTCTCTGCATTAAGGAGTGATACGTTAGTGATGTGCCTCCTGGAGGGAAATAAGTTGCGGGACGTACCATGGAAAGAACACCGCGACCCTGAGGCATTGAACCAGCAGTTGGCGCAGCTGCCCATCATCTGGCCGGCGTACAACACACAAGCCGTCCACGGTCCCTGGCCTTTCCGGCAGTGGTTGCACGCCTGCGGCGCCAGAGAGCCGGCTATTTGCGCGAACAGGGCCTCGACATTGCTTCTCCTGACGAGGTTCAGCTCTTGGTCCGGCTTCCGCTGCTCCGCGAGGCGCTGGCCTGGATCGCGAGCCAGTCTCTTCGCGAACGCGCTATCGACCTTGAAGTTTGTATATCCCGAGTCGACCGCCATCTCCTCCGTCGACTTGGCCGACTGCTGCTGTTGCGCCGCGTCTATGTATTCTAGTCCCCCGCCAGAGCCCATTTGCGCGGCCGGCATCGCCCCCGACTGGAGGGCCCCAACCCCAGCCTGTCCGGAAATCAAACCACCGGGTAGTACCTGGCCATGTGCATGTTGCTCATCTCCGTACATGGACGCGGCGGCGGCGCCGATGCCGCCGTTGGCAAGGATGTTCGCGGCTGTGAGATCCATGTGCTGCTGCTCTGCGTGCGCCGCGGCGGCCTGGGCCTGAGCCTGGGCCTGAGCATGGGCGTCGTCGTCCATCTCGGCATCCGCCTCGGCCTCGCCGACATCATCTGTCATATCGTGATGCTGCCCCTCGATCTCGGCTCCGTCTTCGGCCAGTGCCGGATCATGCTCCTCGAACTCGTGCGCCAATTGATCTGCGCCAATGCCGCGGCTGAGCCTTCGTGGGGCGCTGGCCTTTGTGACCTTGCTGGGCCGGCCTCGAGGCGGCCGGATAATGCCTGACTTCATCGTCCCTGTCGTGCAAAGTGCCAGAAAAGCAGAGTGAGATGTCGGTGATGGGGGGTTGGTGGTGCGATGAGCGGTGTTCACAGCTGGCGTCAGCTGTAAAAAGCCAATTCCGTTGTTTTGGGGGGGAAGCGAGTGAGAACGAGCTGACGCGCTGCTTAGTGTTGATTCGCCAATGGCGGGAATGCTGTGCACGGGCCATCTGCCACTGTGTGCGCGGGGCACTGGGCAACTGTAAGCAAAGAGCTCTCTCCGAGAAAACCCCAGGGTGGCCATCTTAGGCTTATCGTGCGCCGCTACAGGCACCTTTAGTGGGGGGTAGCTATCTGCCTAGGTACCTACAAAGCTGGGCTTGACTTGACTCACTTGAAAGGCAAACTTGACAGCAGAGTTGTTTGAGGTATATGGCCACCAGCTTCCTGTCGATATCTTTCTACAACAAGTTCTTCCCTGCTTGTAGCAAAATATTCAGCTTGCCATATCCAGGTAGCCTATAGTTGAGCCAAACAATAGGTATCATCACTTCAAAACACACCACTAGGATCACAAGTTGTTCGAGATAGACCTTTGGTTGCCAGCAGCGCCATTCTCGACAAGATGGGCCATCTGGTGACAGTAGCGACATGTTCGCTCAACCAGTGGGCACTTGATGCAAGTTCAGTTACCCTTGACTTGCTCCACTGAAGCTGACTCTGTGAATCCAGTTTGAAGGCAACACAGCTCGTATCATCGAGAGTATACACAAGGCCAAAGAAGCCGGCGCAAGACTACGAGTTGGTCCTGTAAGTGCTCTTTCATCCTCGTCCCCTAGTTCGTTCGCTAACCTCACCTACAGGAGCTGGAAATATGTGGTTATGGATGTCTAGACCATCTCATCGAGCAGGACCTGTACCTGCATTCCTACGAGATGCTGCACAGAATCCTGCTCGACAAGAGCTGCTATGGCATCTTGCTGGATATCGGCATGCCGGTACAGCACCGCAACCAGCGCTTTAACTGCCGTGTTCTCTGCCTGGACGGTAAGATTCTTATGATCCGTCCAAAGATGTGGCTTGCAAACGACGGCAACTACCGAGAGATGCGCCACTTCACCCCCTGGATGCATCCCAGGCAGACCGAGCAGTTCCATCTCCCGCGGATGCTGCAAGAGGTCCAGGGCACAACGCACGTCGTCTTTGGAGATGCCGTCGTGTCGACGCCCGATACCTGCTTCGGAGCGGAGACATGTGAAGAGCTCTTCACGCCCAACGCACCGCATATCGCCATGAGTCTCGATGGTGTAGAGATCATCACCAACAGCAGCGGCTCACACTTCACTCTCCAGAAACTTGATACACGTCTTCAGTTGATCATGGAGGCGACAAGGAAGTGCGGAGGGATTTACCTCTACGCCAACCAGCAAGGTTGTGACGGCGACAGACTGTACTATGATGGCAGTGCCATGATTCTGGTGAATGGCGACGTCGTTGCCCAGGGTTCACAATTCAGCCTCAACGACGTAGAAGTCATCACTGCTACGATTGACCTAGAAGAAGTAAGGGCATACAGATCCTCCATCTCTCGAGGCCTCCAGGCGGCCACGTCTGATGCCAAATACCAAAGAATTCAAACGTCGTTTGAGCTGAGCACCGAGAACGAGGATACGGACGTCGAGATACGGCCGACCCTGCCCATCAAACCGAGGATTCATTCAGTTGAAGAAGAGATTGCCTTATGTGCTGGCTGTTACCTCTGGGACTATCTACGAAGGTCGGGCACAGCTGGGTACCTGGTGCCCCTGAGCGGCGGTATCGATTCCTGCGCCACAGCTGTCATCGTCTATTCAATGTGCCGCATTGTAATTCAAGCTCTGGAGGATGGAAACGAGCAAGTGATCGAAGATGTGAAGCGAATCGCCAGATACGATGGCGAGGATGTCCTTCCCAAGACTCCCCAAGCACTCTGCAATCAGATCTTCACCACAATATACATGGGTATGAAAACACAGAGCTCTAAAGAGACGCGGCAACGGGCAAGAGACCTTGGCGAGGCGATCGGCAGCTATCATATTAATCTTGATATCGACGAAGTATATCAAGCTCAGAAGAACCTCGTCATAAACGCGATCAACTTCGAGCCGAAATTCAAGGTTGAAGGCGGAACTCAGCAGGAGAATCTGACCCTACAGTGCATACAGGCGCGTATTCGTATGGTTACAGCTTACGAATTTGGCCAGATCCTACCGACAGCTCGCAACAGACCTGGAGGAGGAAGCCTTCTCGTTCTGGGCAGTGCCAATGTCGGAGAATCTCTAAGAGGATACCTGACCAAGTACGACTGTTCGAGCGCAGACATCAATCCCATCGGATCCATTGATAAGGCTGATCTGAAGCGCTTCATCGCCTGGGCTGAAGTAAACTTCGATCTACCCTGTCTTCACGATTTTTTGACGGCTGTCCCGACTGCTGAGCTGGAGCCTATCACCGAGACTTATGTTCAAAGCGACGAAGCGGACATGGGCATGACATATCAGGAGCTGACTATATTTGGAAGGCTGCGAAAGGTCAACAAGCTTGGCCCATACGGAATGTTCCAGAGGCTGGTTCATGACTGGAGTGCAGATCGTGAGCGTAGCCCCGAGGATGATGATCCCGCCTACGAACCAGCACAGATCGCGGAGAAAGTGAAGAAATTCTTCCATTTTTACGCCATCAATAGTAAGTTGCCTTATATCCAGTTGTTTTTCGTTGAAAGAGCGAAGTCCCAACCAAAATAAGGGTTTAAGCATAAACCTAAAACCTGAAATCTCACAATTCAGACAATGAGGGCGTCAACTCCCGGCTACAACATCTCTCCTAAATCCAACCCCTTGCCTCCCCTATTCCCCCTTTTTGTCAGCATCATCAAATATATTCATTCTTTACCCTTGGCTAATAGTTATTAGGACATAAGATGACGACACTAACACCAGCATTGTAAGTTAAAAGACACGGCTACTCGTGAGACCTCTATTCAGTTTTTTTAGTTTTTTTAGTTTTTTTGGCTTTTTTGGTTTTTTTGAGAAATAATTACTGACCCCAAACATGCACGCGAATGAGTACTCGCCCGACGATAACAGGTTTGACCTGAGACCGTTCCTTTATCCGAGCTTCTGGAAGAGCTGGGGTTTCAAGAAGATCGACTGGGAACTCGAGAAGATTGAGAAGCGTAAGGCGAAGAAGGCCGCCGAGCGTGGCTCATAGAACGATGTCCAATCACCATAAATTATCCTAAACAAATACTCTGTGTAGAACTAATAATTTGTTTGATATTCAGCATCTAGATCAGGTACTACAGTAAGACTTAACACCATCTTTCTGACAGTAAACAGTATCACACAGTTGTGGCCTCTATATTCGCTCAATCTGCCATCTGCTGAGGTATCTCCTGCTATAACAAACCACACACCAGCGTAGACAGTCTCAAGACCCATCCCTTAGCATGTCGAAGGCAGCTCTATATCATCTTGACCAAACGCTTTCAATTGACGAGCACAAGCCGTATGTTTTACGAACGTGAATGACAGCTTCATCCCTATCACTTCCGTCTCCATATAACACCAAGCTAGAATGCCGTTCAAGCCAATTCACGGCCTGAGTCAGCTTCTCTAGAAATACGAATTCCCCGCGCCGTCATCAATAAAGCCGTCTTCAGCCACGGGTCTCTGCGACCTCTATTAGTGTACCCCCAAATTCCCCCAGGTCAAGGCGTCACTAGGAACATATTTTATGATAGGCAAACAACCCTTGTTACTGAATCTACAAAGGCCATACAACTTTTCAGGGGTATATGCTCTATTCGTCTAATTAATCCCCTATTTATATTTATTTAGAACCGCCTTAAACATGCAAAAGTCTATCTCCTTTCCATCATGCGATTCCATTGCTGCGCAAACTCTCTCAGTCCCCCTTCGCCACCCATGCTCGCATCCACGACCTCCTTCGGCAGCTTGTGCGCCGAGTACTGCGGCGTGCTAAAGTTGTAGGCGGACGGGTCATCCTTCTCCACGATCCTCAGCTCGGGGACGTAGTCGTCCGCGTCGTCATCGTCGGTCGTCGTCTCATCCTCTGTCTCTCCCGCCGGCTCTTGGCCTCCCGTGCCGAGCAGCGGCCGGGGCACCTGTAGATCGAGGAGCTCCTGCCAGTCGAACAGCAGGCTATCAGTCCTTGGAGCCCAGGGATTGATGTCAATCAGCCGGGCCCTGCTGAGTCTGCCGCCCTCCTCCTCGTCATCAGATTCAATGTCGCCTGCCTCGGGAATGTACACGTCAAAGGTGAAGTTGCCATCCGGGAACGTGAAGCGCAGCTTCTTGTCGAACAGCTCCTTGACCCTTGTGATGATTGCGGATCGCAGCTTGGCCAGGAAGGGGTAATGGTTCAAGTCTCGCTGCGCAATGCCCACCAGGCTCCTCTGCTTGACAAAACACCTAAACTCGAGCGCACCGTGTGGGTTGAAGAATGACCGCAGGACTAGCACGGGACTGAATCCAAGACCAGTAGGAGCAGGGGTACCTTGGGGCAAGGGGGCCGTCCCGTCAAAAGCAAGCTCAAGGTCATGGCTCACGAAACTTGAGCTCTTCAGGAGAAGATAGACATCGTTTGGAGTGGTGCACTTCATCGTGTTCTGATGCCGCGAGATCCAGGCTGCATCCTTGGGCGATGACCAGTTGAGCTTGGGAGCCACAGCACCGCCAAGCTCTTCAATCTTGTCTTTGATGGCTTGATGCACTGCCGGAAATCTTTGGTTGGGTGGGAGGCGTGGAGATGACTCTGTGTCTGATTCCTCTTCGTCTTCCTCTTCTTCAACACCTGGCATGGGTCCGGGGCCACTGGTAGAAGTTGGCTCCCAGTCATCGTCCTCGTCTGCAGCAGACGTCTCATCGTCATCAGCTAAGATGATACCATCCTCGCGAATGTAGTCGATGAACTCTTGAGGAAGAGGAATAATACGGGACCGAATTGTTGATGTGCGGTATCTGTCAAATGGTCAATGACTAATGTTTTCAAACATGATGAGTAGGGAATCGAGTGAAGTGAGAACTCACTTCGGAAACCAATAATCATATGATGAATGCAGAATCTGATCCCTTGTAACGGGAGGAAATTGCACCGGCTCATCTGCTGCACCCACGGGCGCTGGTGGTAGTCCTTCAAAGGCCGGCATTTCTGACTATGTAAAACTTAAGACTCTTTATATTTGCTTCAGAATCCCCGGCTAAGTCGTCACAGTTTATCGTTGATTTTTTTTGCGGTTCTAGAAAGTGACTTTTCTCGGGAAGACTATCAGGAGTCCAGCCACGTCGGTCTTCAGGATTCCAGTCGGCTCTAGCAAATGCGCTTGCAGGCTCAGTCATTTAGATGAAGGGTCATGTAAGAGCAGGTGGCGACGAGGTCACTCTGTGACTCCCATATGCATCTCTCTTAGCGGGGTGCCGCCAGTGAGTCAAACCCCACCACGACTTTTCTGCCGCCCTAAACCCTGCGCCAACCTCACCTGCGGGGACACCGCCAGCCCTCACCGCCTTCCTGATTAGCTTATCGCAGGACGACATCATCTTCAAGGCACGCTTTCTCACTCTTCAACCCATACCAGCTAACACCCTGGGAAGTCCGCACACGATGTCCGATAATGTAGGCCTGTCCACGCCACGAGGCAGCGGCACCTCCGGCTACGTACAGCGCAACCTCGCGCACATCCGGGCGCGCGACTCCGCAGCGCCTTATCCCAAGGACTACGACAGCTTGCGCCACAAGCAGCGGCAGCCGGACAAGGGCATCCTAGAGCATGACCGCAAGCGCGAGGTCGAGGTCAAGGTGTTCGAGCTGCGCGATGAGCTAGAGGACGAAGGGTACGGCCCCATGGTCTATATGGAAGATTACATGTCGCTGACGAGATGGCTATAGCGTGGACGAGGACGAGATTGACAAGCGCTGCGACGAGCTAAGGCAAAAGTTGCTTAAGGAGCAGGAGAAGGATAGCAGGAGAGGCGCCCCGCCGCGGAAGGGCTTCAAGATGCACCAGGTCCACGAGCTGGCTGATGCCAAGATCAAAGAAAGTGAGAAGTTACGGCAGGCACTCAAGATCAGCAAGGATTACGAGGAGGGCAGCCACTGGAAGCGGCAGGAAGAGAGGATGAAGAAATCACTGGAAAAGGAGACGGCAAAAGGCGAGGAATGATTCGGCTGCGTTAATGAGGTGATACTGCTGTGTTTCTGCTTCGGAAATGGTTGGCTAGGTGTTCAAGGCGTCAGAGCATTTGTATACTAGAGGACCGACGACCCTAATGAATTTCAGTTTGTTCCGCGCTATTGGAGCTTTTTGGTCCACACATCTGGTTTGCCAACGGGTGGAGAGTTCGAGCCGAGTTGAGGTTGAATTATTCGCACCCAAAACGCTCACGATAGCATCGTGAATCACGATGAGTGACATATATCCTTTTCGCTTAAAAAGACCATGTGATAAAATATATAGCATCTGCAAACACAGAAATACTTGTGAGAAAAGATGAACCGATTTAAAAATATGTGCGAGAAAAAAATACAAAAAGAAAGCTCCTCCCGCGTCCAGGAGGAGCTCAGAAAAGCCCGTTAACCATGGCGTCCCATGCGAATCTTTTCATAGCCACTAACCACTGCGCCATTTGACTTGGGAAGACCCTAGGAGAAAGTTGGTTGAATTAGAGGACGTTTATTGCCCCTTATGAGGTTTCTCCGTCCGAAGTTTCACCTATCATGAGTGCTTGTGATGGGGAAGGCCACCTAGATACCGAACGTATAAACTGAGGAAATGTCGTTCACTATAAAATCAAGTCAGTCTGAGCTTCCCGCTTAACTTCAAACACCCATCAGTGCCCTACTGCCAGAGCCAAGCTTTTGTAATACATGTTGCCAATAGCCATTCTCGATCCTGCCTGTACGTTGTCCTAGTGTTGGTGACAGATGTGTTGACCAACCATTATACTCTAATGTTTGTTACTCAACGAGGGAGAGAGAACAAATAAGCCAAGTATGTCCACCATGATGCCCAGACTGCTTGCACTGACAAGATAGCTTGTCATCTATGTGGTGCTTCAGAACGCAACAGGAAAATCCTCAGGTTGCTATATGAATATAGTACACGTTATAGGAGACAATACCGGCCATGAAAATGTTCTAAATCTCAACGGATGGTTTGGGCCATATGTTCACGGCCAAGGCATAACATGTCCAATGGACAAGATAGGAATAAAATGGAATACACACGAGATGAACATACTTTACCCTACAGAGATCGCTCTATTGCTGACAAGGCTACACAGATTGCTGCTGTAAAACGAATTCATCTCTGGGACGGAGAGCGAGTGTTTGTGGAAGTTGGGGATGTGTCTGTCATATTTAGAGCCGCACATCAGAGTGCCAAAATAGTATGCCATTTGATGATTCTTTGCCACAGAGCCGTCCCGTCTGTCTGTACGACCACAGGCGGACCGGGTCGTGTTGAGAGCAGTGGATATTAGCGATCAAGCCTGTAAGCCCAAGTGCAAGGTTGACAGAGGCGAGGACGAAAATGGTCATAGCATACAGCCTGCCATTCCTAAAAAATCGGTACACTCAGAGACTACGGGCGAACTGGCACCTTGTACCGGTACCTCGTCAGTGACTTGTGTACAAAGCTCCCAGCCAGGAAGAAATCCACTGGATGATTCTCCTGGGCTGTCTCAAGAAACCGCCGATAGGCGCGGCAGCTTGGGCCAGGCTGTTGTCCGGATCGACCAAACTATGGGAGCGCACGGTAATAGTCCGAAATCTGGTTGCGAAGCAGACAACAAGATTAACAATTCTGTAGCAGCGAGATAGTGGCTTGTGGTAACGAGCCCCAGACCGGTCTGCCTTAGACATAGACGAGGACCCTCATCGGTGAGTGTCGCCCCGTCCGACCACAGCAGACATCATGTACGGTGATAGGGTAGACTGCCCAGTGCAGAGCGCATGTGTGCCTGCCGAGGGAATTAAGCGATTTAGGTGGTGGGAGGGATATTGGCAATCGGCCCAGAAGACATTGCTGGAGCACTGCTAACCACTCTCGTAGACTCACCTCATCCTGTGACAACCTGCCTTCACCCACCCACTCGGGCACACCCACATGCACAAGCCTGTAGTGCCAGACTGGTGGGGTCTTGAGGGATCCAGGAGTTCCATCAGTCCTGCAATGGAGGGGCAACACTGCAGCATCTGTGTGTATCTGAGGGACTTGCAAGCCCCTCACTCTCTGAGTCTCATAGCCACCAATTGCACCTGCAGACAGAGTAGAAACTGTTACAAAGCGCTCCGTCCAGACTTGAGCAGAGCACAACATATGCGCGCTGTACCCCAGGCTGGCTCGAGCGCCCACAGCTCCGCTGGTTAGCCGTCTCACGACAGATGGGCGGGCGGCCGTCGACAGGACACTTCGAAGCGAGGCACACTGCAGTAGCAACGGCAGGATTTGACCAATTCATCGGGAAGGAAGTGGCGCCGCTGGCGGGCCGTGAAGGCAGAGAAATGGGAATACAGGGATGAAGGAAAAGGAAAGGCAATAGACTGAAAAGGGAAGCAGAGATGCGGGTGAGAGGCGGGAAACCCAAGAGGATAAACTGCGTTGAAACCCTATAGAGACGGGACGCACTGAGGGCTGGGGGCGGAATCAGCAGCGACGGGAAGCTGGATCCACGGCGGGACGAAGGAATCCTTCGTGATCGCCTTCCCAAGTTATCTAGGCTATATCTGCCGAGTATTAGTGAAGCTTCAAGTTGGCCGCCGTCTCCTCGGGATGTCCTCGCCGTGCTTCAGTGACGACACTATAGTGCATACCTGTTCGGTGCTCGAGGGAAGCCTAGTTGCTCTTCACAAGCTTGCTGGGTTTCCCGAGGCAACCTGCACGACAGAGCTGATGAAGAATGACAAATGGGTTGAGAAGAGGGCGAGATGTGGGAAATCTGGGGAAAGTCACCGCATCCGGCCCGCCAGCCGAATAGCCCAGTCCTGAAGGAGAAGTTCAAACACCAGTACAGCCAAGCCCGCCAGCACGATAGGCGACGGGCCGAATCGAGGGCCGCCGTTTTCTGCCAGACATATGCACTCCCGGTGGAGATTTGCAACGGTGATGATGTTTGCGGCATCTGCGAAGAGGTTCCATCTATCTTCCCCAGAGCACGCTATTTTGGACCCCACCGCGAAATCGGAATGGAGCGAAGTCTGGGGTATGCAGTGTATGTTGTCTGCCAAACAAGTCAAGGATTTGCAGGACTCAGGCTCAGGGATGGCCTGTTCTCCTCATGCATTCTCCCCCTCTCTGGAAGATGTGCTAGCCAGCCCCCAAGTATCAGACAAAACCCCAGTTTCCAGGAGAAACCAATTCGGCCCGCGAGGCTTCAGTGTCTATCACTTCACGAATGGGTGACTGGCGTTGGCAGTTGGATGTCTTGCGGTATGCTCGACGCATGGCTAAATGGACCATATCTGCGGGAGAAATGCCCCGAATTGGGGACGTTGGCTGGGCGAGTTGGAGAGCAGATACGATTTGCCCTCTGATCGATGGATCAATGGTACTTGACCTGTCTACTGGTGGTTACCAACGTTAGGTCGGTGGCACAGGTGCGAGTAAAGGTGAGTTTGCTTGTAAGACAAGAGTGTATCGCGCTGATGAGATTCTTCCCGCAAAGTGGCATGTCCGGGATGGGCACTTCACATCAAGATATTAGCTACTTAGAAAAGACAGGGAAGCAACGATCTATCAGCCCACGTCTGCCATCATTATCTACCTAGGTACTTGCCGAGATAAGTTAGTGACGTAGGGCGTCTCTCAATTGATAAATGATAAGCATGAAATGCCCAGGCGAGATAATTCCAACGTTATCCGAGAGACGTGCCAGAAGATGGGTATCGGTAGAGCATAACCCTTCGGACTTGGAAGAAGCAATCTCTGACTTGCTAAATAGCAGCACCTTAGACAACACAACACGACATTCAAGGTTGCACTTATATGGGAGACACACAACACAAGAAATACACCATCGTCGAGGGACGCAGAGCAAGGATGGAGTTTAAGAATATTGTGACCCAATAATTCCGTAGTCCTTGAGTACTATGTGCATGTGTTCGTGCGTGCGTGCCGATGACGGCCGCCCTGGTGACGGGGCGTGTTTATCCATGCTCAACAGAGAAAAAAAATTAAAAGAATCTCGTACGCCTCACAAAATCCAGTCCAGTAATTTGTCCGTTCTTTCCATGAGTTTTCCATCTCTCAGTAGCAGAATAATAATGTTTCCTCTCAACTCGCAAGGGAGCCTGGTTTGTGCGAGGGTAATAATAATCCGACAACAAAAGCTAAGCAACGGGATAGGCGGGAAATCTTTTGGTTCGAAATCCTCACACTACCCCAAGTCGGAGAATAAAACCACAATAGCGCGTAATCCCCTCGCATTCGTTGGATCTGTCGTCCCTCGCGGCGAATCCGGACGAGAAGCCATCGTTTGAAGCAATCCGGCGCGATTTGCAGGACACACATCTTCCTTCAGCTCATCAAGTCGATGCATGATGTGCTCTGGACACATTTCCAGGCGATCTGGTCGGTATCCGGGAGGGTGGTAAATAACTTCGTAATCTTGGTCATGGTATATCGTGACATCAGATTGGTCGTTCCGTGCATACTTAGTCTGGCGCCAACTATATGCACCCCGGACTGACGGGGGAGATGGTGTCGTCGTATGCCGTTCATAATCGACCAGTCTGGATGATCTGCTGGTAGCTCATAGGAAGCCAGATTCGGCCAAAACTCTGGACGGCAAACAAAACGAGTAAGCAAAAGAACTCAGGCAAGGGATGTATCTGCGGCGGGATGCTAGATGGATACAAGATGGTGTGTGACTGTCTGCCTGAACAGGTAATTGACAAAGCCTCATAGGGTTGCCAAAGCACTCTTGCTGAACGCCACTTGCTGCTGCCACAATGCTACGTACCTGACAATCTTCTCATCTTCTCGTTCGCGCGGCTCTACTTGCAAGCTCTTGTCGTACATCTCATGCACGTCTCCAGCAGCTTGCATGTTACTCAGGATGTAGTCTTGGAGTTCTGGCACAAGCTGGAGAGAATACGGCACGTTCTGGTACTGTTGAATATCACGAATCACCTCGGCGGTCTTCGCCCGCTTTGCGAAGTTGATCAGATTAGTCTTCTTGATGATGGAAGGAATACCATCCTCAATGAAGGTAAGATCTGTCAAATAAACACCTACAACATTGTCAGGTCATTGATCAAAACGGACAAGTATAAAGATCAGAGAGGCATACCGAAGAATGGGATGCACGGTGGATTTGCCACGTGAAGGGCTTCTCGGTACTCGCCAAAATTTTTGGTGTTGCCCATAAGCTTCCTCATGGTCTCAAGAGTAGCATGTGTCTTTTGTGGAACAATGTCCCATGTTCTCTTCAGACGAGCAATCGGCGCAGTGCTAATGGCCGATATGATGGAAGTGAGCGTGGAGAAGTTATTGAGACTCCGACATTTCTAGACATAAAACGTTAGCTGAACAAATTTGACAAGGGCAACGCTAGAGGCTCACATCTGCGACAGCGACGAAGTGCTTGATGACGACAACACGCTTCTTAACATCCGATTGAGCCAGAATCATTTCAGCAACCCAGTTGGTCATTTGGTTGGAATGCAGAATAAGGGCTTTGACATTCGGTGCCGGCTCTGGCTCTCCTTCTCCAACCTTCTTTTGCCATGTCTTATTAAGGCACTCAGTAGGTTTGATTTTGCCGTACAGCCGCGACTCGATAATGGTTAGTTGCCGGGCAAATTCCGTTACATCGATGTCAAGGAATTTGAGCTTCTTCATGTTCTTCGGCATGATTGGTGCTGGCGTCGGCTGGTTCTGTGTTTGAATCAAACGCCTGCCGACCTCCTTTCCGCTCAGACGTTGATCTAGAACAGCCATCAATGGCGCAGAACCGGGGGTCTCAGTCGACTTGACCGTGTCGCGGGCAAATGTGTAGACGTCACGAAGTAGGGACTTTGTCTCCTCTGTTGTAGGATCTTCCATCCAGAAGTTCTCGAACCAATTCTTCAAAATGTTGACGACTCGGAATCGAATAGGAGTCTGTTTGCGATCGCGCCAGGTTTCGTAGTCGCTCTGATTCAGGCCTTCAGGAGGCTGGATGCTGAATCTCTTCACCAAAAGGCTAAACAATTCTCGTGCGGAAGTAAATGATCTGTATGTAAGCAGGAAGGTGTTGTTGAAGTTAGAGTCAAGTTTGTCATGACGTGTCAACTGTTCCACCAAAGCGAGAAGTGAACCACCTTTGACCGCAGGAGGCTGAGTCTTGAAGTCCAAGGAAATATCTTGCTCATAATCCAGTCGAAGGAACTCGGGGGTGTCATCCACTGCCTGCTGAGGCGTGGGATCCTCTCCCAACATCTTCTTGACTTTGGAGTAGTCACCTTTCCTAAAGTTGTTCGCCGGAGCATCTCCTTCGGTGAATGACTGTGACGTCACCAGGCCTGGTCTCATGAGGCCCCGAGACTCTGCTCGTGTATGCGAACGTTCGTAAGGCATCGTCTCTCCTCTCCTCAGCTGTTCTCGCTGGAATTGCTCTTCGCGAACCCGGCTGTCGTTTTGTTGTTGTAAGTTGATTTGGACTTGCTCGGATAGGAGTTGAAGTGAGAAGCCGATGTGGGAGGAGTTGGTCTCCAGTGCCCGTGCACATTGCCTCACGTACTCGAGCCTGTTCTCCAGTGCTTCCCCTCTGACTTCAGACCATTCATCAGCCAGCGGGCCGGCGACAGCCTGGCAGCCTAACAACAGATCAGAGATATTGTCATACAAGCTCTGCTTATTCGTGCTGAAATCTGCCAGCTGAGGTGTCTGGAAGCTATTGCCGAGCGACGAGAGGTCGATTGACTCGATCATTGCAATCCATGGCTTGAACATCTCCAAAACCTTGCCACCCGCGATGCAGACATTGTTTCCGATGACTTCGTGCCTAAAGGGAGTGACAACCTTCTCCGAGACAACGAGGTTCTTCTCCAGCTCACGAATGCTGGATACAAGCATCCGCTTCCACTCGTCCAGTCTCTCTAGCAATTTACCATCAAGGACTGCATTGGGTTCGCCCGAGCCCTCCTCATCGTCCAGAAAATTGGATGTGATAGGATCCCGTGGGCCCAAACCATTGTTTTGCCAGCTGCCACCGGCATTGGTACCAATCACAAAACCAGGGAATAGGCGAGGGATATCTTCGCCCCTCTGCTGGCGGGCAACCTCGACATAACTGAACACGCCAAGCAGCACGCCGTCTGCCTCTTGCAGACATTTCTGCACGGACTCCGCATTGGGCCAGTCAGCAGCAGCTATATGTGATGATATGACCAGCTTGGAGAACTTGGACATCATGTCTCGGAAGTGAGGGTAGAGAGCCTTGTTGGTGGATATAATGGAAGGTTGGCCGGAATGGTTATCTGTGGTTCCTGATCCGGCCGCGAGAAGGAGTCGCAGGTGATCCGAAATATCCTCCGCCCGAGCAACATACTCGGATCTGTTCCCGCTTGTGATAGCCTCACGATACCGGTCGATAGCCTTCTTCATGTTGGAGACTAATCGGCTCCATGTGAGTGGCGGCGTAGACCCATCATCGAAGAAAGAGCGGGGAATAGTGGCGGCAGTCGGCAGGTTGAAGGCGGTGCTGGTGAAAGAGGTGGCAGAAGCGATATTCGGTGTTTGACCGAGGAATTCATTTCGCCCTGCCCGCGTTATGGGAGATTGGCCATTCATAGACTCTATAGAAATGGCAGGGTTAATAGCATTGTTGCCCGATCTACGATTCCGAGGCTGAGGACGTGGATTGATTAGCGGAAAAAAACACTCCAAGTGATACAGCGGACACATGTCGCGAATTGTCTTACCATTGAACCCCGGGAAGCCATCATGATCGATTCACCGTCCAATTCGGACGCAGAGTTGGCAGAGTCTTCGTCTTCATCCTGCATGAACCCCCTCGCCATCATTTCTGGCGGAGGCCGTGTCCTTTCCGGCATGTTGACATTCATGCGGTCTCTAGGTCCTGTCTCGTTAACCGATGACGGCGACTCCAGCGGGAGCTCCATGCTGCTCTCTCCCGTCATGGTGTTGTAGTAGAACAGGCGGCCGTCTGGGGTGGCTTGCGGTATCCAGAAGTCGGCTCTTGACCTATCGCCTGTATCTGTTCCCTCTAGAGGCAAGCCTGCGATATCGTCTTGGTCTGAGCCGTCATCGTCGTCGAAGTCGTCTCCATAGCCCATCTCCTCTTGTTCATCGTCCATTGGATCCATGAGGCCATCCTGCTCCGGTTCTGGTATCTCGTCGGCGTTCGTAACGACTGTGCAGTAGTTGCTCGGGAACCAGCCTCGGACACCGTTAATGACACCATCCCACCAGCCGCTCTCAAGTTGCGTTATAACCTGAATGACATCGCCCTGGTGGAAGCTAAGACTTGTCCTATCGTCCGCCTCGTAGTCGTAGAGCGCCTTGACGTACATGGCGCCCGGCGGGGGTGCCGTTCCTGCTAGACCATTCATCAGATTTGTCGAGTATGGTTGGTAGTAGTCGTTGTTGTTGCTGCGGTCGGCGTTGGAGCGATCCAACGGCGCCGTGCTCGAGGTGTCGATTCGGTCGAGGCTCTTGAGCTCGCCACGGGAGGTGTAAGAAGTGTTTTTCTGGGCTGCAGTGAGTGCCGACACAGCAGTCTGCGTCATAAGCATTGTGATGTTGTCGAGAGGAGATGCAGAAGGGGGGCGCGGGACGAAGGGGGCTGGCCTAGGTCCTGCTCCAAGCCATTCAGCCTTACAGGCAGCACTGTGGTATGGGGATCGATCGCGGGACCGATATTAGAGTGTCTTGAAAACAAGTCGGGCGGTGGCGGCGACAGAACGACACAGAGGGGCAGACGCGACAGAAACCCACATCAGCCGCGGGAGTCGGCGTACGGTAAAGGTGAATGAGTGTTGGGCCTATACTATCTATCCAAGGCAAATCCGGTCGACGGTCTCTTGGAAAGGAGCCCTTTCTGGGCACCAGGTGATTGAAGGAGGGCAACAGTGTTGCGGGAATGGGCGACGTGAGTGGTCGAAGCTTTGTTCAGCGGGCGGGTAGGGAGAATGGAGGGGATGGGTGCAATTCGCCGACAGTCTCGCTGGCCGCTGGGGTGGGCTGAATGGGAGATGTGATAGAAGGCGCGCACTGGATGGCCCAGATTGGGGAATTTCCTTCCTTGGTGAGGGCGGCGAGTGTTGGTTCGTCGCTCCAGATGTGAATCCTCGCCTTTGAAGCACTTCCTTGCTGCGTCGAGGGATTTACAGGCTGTCTGTCTCAACCGTCTGCTTGGGTTGGGCTGGGCGGGAAGACGGTGAGTGACACCCCAGTCGCTGCGGATGATTGGAGTGGGGACGCTTTTTGCTGGCCTGGATCACTGGCGGAGTCGTCGTAGTCTTCGTCTTTGGTCGTTCGCAAGTGAATAATTGCCGTTTCCTGGAGAAAGAAAAAGGTGGTCGTCTCAGAAAAGGGAAGGACGAAAAAGGAAAGAAAAGGACAAGAGGCAAGACAGATAGATGGATAGGATAGACCAATGAGTTTGTGGTAATGGTGGTCATAAAAAGTTGTTGTTGCACTGATTTTGCTCTTTTTGGGGGTGGGCAGGGCAAAGGGGTCCTTCTTCCAGGTTCTTGTCTCCCACCAAAGGTGGTTGAGGGGCTTGTGTGAATGTATCGGAGGGCACATTTACTTGAGGTAAGGTGAAGCTACTTACCAACTTTCTCCTAGTCCGCCTCCACCTGGTACTCTACCACTCTATCTTACTCAGAAGTCGATAGGGTACATGGATTGTAGGGTAAGGAAAAGGAAAGGTAAGGTAGCGAGCGTATACCTAGTGCGGTGTTGCGTTGCGTTGCTTTACTTCGGCCTTGCTCCTCTTCCTGCTGGTGGGTTATGGTGTGGTGCCGTCGTCTCCTGCTGCACCTGCACCTGCAGGTGGAAGGCAAATGGTGTGGGTGGGCTGGGCAGGCCTGTGGGAACGCAACTGCACGCACGCACTGGCATGGATGAGGGCATCGGGTTTGGCTAAGTCACCGTGATGAGGATGGGAGGAGTGACAGAAAATGAGATAACTGACTGCAGACTACGGAATGCCTCAGAATACAGCAATAACAGGCGAGCTCACCATCCTTTCATCTATCATCATCTTCCATCGCCCATGCATATCACACCCAGGACTCACAACACGCTCCCATCTGCCTCTCCGACCAATTCAATAAGACGGTACGGGTCCAGACTGCACAGATAGCTTAAGATACCCAGAGTGACTCCCTTCGACTTCGGTCCTGGCAAAGGTAAGGTACACTACTTGATTCGACATTGAGGGCATGGCACTTCTGCGGTACCTCCCTGTCCATCTACCTGTCTGCAGTACAATGAGCGGGAAGACTCCTGCGCAGCCAGAAGGATAACCCCAGACTGCAGGCCAGCCGCTTCTCTGCAAGCCAGGCGAGCCAGGCGATGTCTGGCATAATAAAGAGCAGACACACACATACACACGGACGACCTCATGCCCGGATCGCAATGTGTCTTGGGAGTGAGTGAGTCCAAGGTACGCGAACCGGCGATATGGTACCGCTTTCTGCCGTACGTACCGGTCTCTCTGCGTACACCATGTCCCCTCGAACCTCTCCTCTCCCCATTCCTCTGTCTCATCTCGAGGATGACATTCACTCAATGACCACTGCAGTTTTACCCGAGCTTGTCAATGTCAATCCCCGTGGAGAAGTGAATCAGTCCCCCTCCCCCCCAGCGAGGTGGGTCGTATTCCGGTGGAGTGACCTCGACTGAGTGATGCTGATCATCGTCCAACGGCCTGGAGCCCCTACTCCAGGCATATTTTGGCGGCATTGACCGAGACTGGCAGACAGGCAGACCAGAGGTGAGGTAGCCGTGCAGGACGCACAGGTACAGGTACAGCAAACACACCCGCAGACCTGACTGCCTTGCTCACCTCCCGTCCCATTTGCGTCAAGGTCAAGCAGGCAAGCAAAGCATAAACAGTAACATTCAGTGAACCCCTCACTTCGAGACTAAGACTGCAGACTCAAAACAAACACCCGAGCAGGAGATATCCAAAGCGGGGGGTTGGAAAAAAAGCACTGTCAGGGACCATGACTGGAGTTGCTCTAACGACCCGGGTCAACCTTTCGTCTCCTTGCTTGAATCTATTGGTCTAGACTCTCTCTCCTCTACGATGCTTAGACATCACTGACGGTCCTCACAATGCATGATGCATCGTGCATTCCAACCTTGGATCGTGCTATGTGATCTGGGAGGACGACACAACTTTCCTAGAGCTTGCGCCTGTGCCTGTGCCATGAGGAGGGGTGATTTCACTCTCTCACCCCCCTTGTCGATGCCCCTTTTGCCCCTCCCCGTTCTGACAAGGGCCGGCGGCGCTCCTCGGGAACATAGACCCCTGCAACCTCATGGCGATGTGGGCGATTTGCACACTGAAAGCAGTTCCCCAGCAAAGCAGTCAGAGAAAACTATACTCCTTCGGGATGGGAAATAAGTGGGCGATTATCGCTGTGCCGTCCAATTGGTGTCGCTAGGTGTCGAGACGGGTTCGTCAGCTCGAAAAAGGGGCTGATGATGCCAAGTCGATATCATCTAACGATGGGGGGGTGCAGACCCTCTTCTGCCACGCTTGCACAGATAGCAGCTCGTGGCAAGCGGGTCCGCAGGCAGGTCTCAGCTTATCGTCGATAAACTTTTCTTTCAGAGACATTCCAGGTTCGCCCGGTCAGGTTTCCCCTACAATAGCGAGAGTCCATGATTGACTTGCCGCGAGTTCAGTACGGTGACCTGCATGGCCATGCGGGAAAGGTAGCGAGGCAGCAGCAGCCTCAAGCTGACCCTAGTGTCGCTGCGCGACCTGTGCATAATTGTTCCTAGCCTTACCAGAGAATACGAATGCTGGTCAAATGTACCAGTAGAAAGACTGGCCACGTACTAGGTTGATATTGTGCTAATTTCGCTCGGAGGTTTTCGAAAATTCTTCTGCAAGGTTTCGTCCCCTGCGACTCGGGAGTCGTTATATGAGCGACTGCGTACACACGTCTGCATCGCGATGCCCCCCTGATAAGCACCGAGGAGACTGTGTGAGTACAATGGAGGCTTATCTCGAAGTAGAATATTCCCAAGACATGTAATATACAACGTACCTTTAATACAGGGTGTACCTTGAATAGCACAATCTGCCTCTAAGCCTGTCGAGGTTAGAACTACGACCTGCCATATCGTCAACAGAAATGCGGCTTCAGAACAAGTTGACCTAGTATCCCTGCATCGCGTGGTACTACACCCCACCTGATTGATCGGAGTGCCTGCCAACACGGTCGCGTTGTCGAATCTCTTCAGACCCTCAAGCACTCCTCTTACCTCACGCCCATGATGACGTCTTTCTCAACTCACAACGCCAAGTTGCCTCTCCTCTCGCCAACATTAGGAAACTTGCTGATAAAACAACGAGACACATGTATGGCCACCGTCTATCCATCGAGAGATCGCGGCCGCGGCGTCTCACGTTCACAAAGCAATGTTTCACTTTCCTCAACCGTTGATGTCACATCTTGGACAGGCTACCTGCATTGCTCCTTCCCCTTCTGGACACCTTGGCTGACATATAGTCCACCCGAGATGGCCGATCCGTATCACTGGGAAGGATGCCGACAGCAGCCTCTTTGGCAGATCTGGCGGCTATCAGATCTTCCACATTCCCTATATGTGCAAAAGCCTCCCCGTAGTCCCAGTAACTTCCAAGTTCGAGGTGAGCATCGCTTATACCGGGTGTCGTTTGTCGGCTCTCCCGAATCCTTTAGCCGTTCCCCAAGGTTCTGAGCTTCCCTTCCAGTCTCACCTTGTGGATCTTCCTCGATGTCGCTGTTGCTATCATTGTTATCAATAAACTCGAGATGTGCGTAGACCTGGTGACTGACGACGCCGGAACGTAGGATGGTTCTACGTCCCACCAATGTATTCCCGCCCGCATGTGAGATAGCCCGCTGCTGTTAAGACCAACCAGTTCCTCAAAGGCGATCTCTGGATTCTATCTAGTAGTGTTTCTGGGAGCAACACTTCCGAGACTGCTCCTGAGCTTGTCACACAGTTCCATTTCCAGTGCCTTGTCTCGCAAAGGAATCTCGGCAAAGCAATACCCTTTCAGACTCGAGGGTTGCACATGGCTGTCGAATATTGCCTGCGGCCATCCTTCAGTCTCTGGCCGCACAAATACAGCCCGTTGGCATGGCGATTAAGCGATGTTCTGCAGGCCTGTCTGTCCCTGTTCAAGAACCATCAAGGAAACGAACATATATATACCTATACAGTCGTGGAGTCCTTACTAGATTGGCGCCTAAGAGCGTCTACCTTGCCATAGAAGACAGACAGAAGGTCCTGGTCGACAGCGCTGGCTGAAGTTTCAGGAGCAATAGGTTGCCATTGGAAGACTAGCCACTCGGCTTGGTTGCAAACAAGCCCACGGACAGCCACTTCACGTGGAACAAGTGATGGCGTAGTCTGTACCGTTGCGCGAACCTGCGTGCTTTCAAGAATTGGGAGTTAGAAAGAGTGTGGCCATGATATGACTCCGTGACATGTCTCAGCCCTTGTCGTCAATACCGAAGCTGGATCGGTAATGCACCGAATTCGTGGATATGAAATCCTT